TTAAGCTACTTTTTGTACTTTTAAATTGTGCTTTTGTAGCCACGAGTGACTCATTTTGTATGGAAATACATTAATGGAGTAGCCCCTAAGCCAGAGAAGTGTTGTTAGGATTGTGTTAGTTAAAAATACAAAAATCGGCATTAACCTTGACTGCCCAAGGCACAGGGTATTAAACATTACTGTATGCTATTCCACTTTTTTAGTAGGTTTGCACAATATCGCATCATGATTATATAGCGCATGCACAATAATCACTAGGGCCTTGACAGACTCTATGGAACTCTATGGACATTTACTTACTTCTGCAATTTGGTGAGCAGATTAATAGTATGACCAATATATTAGTGAGAGGCATATTGTGACGGCCACAAGTTAGTAATCTGTATAAATTCGACGAATCCAAATTTTTTTATGTTTATTGAATTAAGTTAGTTTTTTTTTTGTATGATGGAAGTGATAAGCACTGAAGTACCGATGAAGAAAGGGATAGCTCAACGGCCATATCATCTTGTGAAAGAGGAGATATTGTGGATGAACCATGTAAAGTTTATCCACAATATTTCTGGACAAATGTTTACGTGCGTCATCTAAAGCCACGGGGATTTGCGTGTGCGTATAATCACGTCTCTGCACCCAGTCTTAGTGCCAGTGGTACATCTGCAGTAAATATAAACATATTTGATTTCTTAGTGTTAATTGTGAAATTAAAAATGTTGTTTTGTAACAGTAACGTAATTGCGAGCTTAACAGACTGCACTTCTAGCAGTGGGTTGGGGTGGGTATCATGGTTTCATCCTATGGAACCGCTGCATGAAATTGTGAACATTTGTATCATGCATTAGACCTCTATCATATGTTTTGAGTTGGTTTATAAATAGTATTTTTTTTTTATTCAAAATGCTAAAATATAACAATAGAATCACTTTGTGTGTGTGCTTTGGGTAGGGCAACAAATGACCGTAGAATGTTGCAAAACATTCTACACTGAATCAGCAACCTAACTGACTACTTTTTCAAACACAGAAGCACACGGCGTCCATGTGATCTTCTCCAGCTGATGGCGCTGTGTGTCTGTGGTCTTGCTCTTATGTTTACTTTGAGGATTTCTGCTGACCAAATACAGTTCAAATTCATCCCGTTTCCTCCAACAGCCCAAAGGAAGGCCACTGGGTTGATTTGCCTGTTGGCGTGTGGGTACTGTGATGAACTAGCATTCTGGCTGGGATACAAAATGCCCAATGCCCTGTACTTAATGAAGCTATGACCACCAATAGTATAATTAGAGAAGCAGTTGTTAAAAAGGTTGGAAAATTATTTGAAAAAGGCTCTCTATACATCAGCATGATGCCTTTTGTGTCTGTGATATAGACTAAAAATAAAATGTGACGTATAAATGCAAGTGTAGCAAAATCAAGTAACATTTTTGACTCAAAATGTATTCGGTATCAGTCTGGACTTTTCTGTGTTACACCAGTTGGGACGCTGTATTCTATTGCTTGGCAGAGGTCTAAAAGTTATGGCCGAAGTTGATGTTAATAATTTCACAGCTTTATATTGGAATCTGTTGTTTTGTATATAATACCACATGTATCAAGAGTTGTATACATTGGCATTAGTAAGTCTTCTCCATTGATAAAGTTTCCCTGTTCTGAGTTTGATAACGGCACATTTGAAATTAAACTTAGTCATTTGATTTCCGCTCGAAAAGACTTTTTAAGAAGCTTCTTTATTTCCTCCTCAGCCTGCAGTTGTGAAACTTTGATTGCATTAGCTATAGCGACCTTTGCTGATTCTGCCTCTTGCTTTCTTTTTGTCCTTGCCTTAAGTGAAATACAATTTTTGTTACACTGACTGGTAAATTTCTCATTCTCCATTGACATTCTGGCATTAGTGGTAAACTTAACCCTCATTTTTTTTAACGTATACTAGATGATCTTTAAGTGGAACAATCATTAAAATTGCAAAGATTGCTAAGTTTTTATAACGTAGTAAAAATTATTTGGTGAAACTTCTCTGTTTGGTGAATCTTATGATGACAGACTCCGCGGGCAAATTGTATTGCTAAGATTTCAAAATGGTTCTTGCTACGTACGAATTACACATGAATAACAGACAATGTCAATATTATTGCACATAATGCCCATGTGGATCTTATTTATGGAAGCGGAACTCAATTCAGGATTTGTAGAGTAATCTCCTTTTGTTAGAGAATAATGTAACTGCTCTGGGTTTGGTGAGTGGATTGCAGTTGTGAAACCAAGATGCAGTTAATTTGGAAACCACCTCCCCAACCCCCCCTCCCCCTCCCCCTTCCCCTCCCCCTTCCCCTCCCCCTTCTAATTCCTCCTAAAATAGAGGGAGTGGAAATAAAGCTTGTGGTCATCCACACTCACACAAAATTAGTTGTGATATACATTCTTAAAGATGTATTACTCCAATCAACGCCATGTTCTGCCCTTTGCGACCGACCTATATATAATGCTTGGTAAGCAGGACAGACTGCTGTTAAGTGAAAGTCTTCCAGGGCATTTAGCAAGAGCCTTGTGCAGCCTGCTGTATGTAGAAACTTGTGCTACAGTGAATATGCAGATGCACTTTGTCAAACTTACCCAAAGTAAGTTTGCATTACTCAGCAGTTTCACAACAACTTTTTTTGCCCAGGTGTGCAGCTGGATTTTACTGGAACACATTGCATTGGATGCCTTTTCAAGAGCCTGCTTTTGGTCCGCTGTGTCATGCTGTAAATGGCTCGATCTAAGTGTGTATACAGGGCTCCAGACGGGGGGGAAAAAAAAAAAAAACTTTAGGAGCCATTGGCTCCTAAACCCAAAATATTTAGGAGGTAATTGCTTTTTTAGGAGTCATAATTACCATCACATGCCAAATACAAATTAAATAAATACTTATATGGCAGATTTTGTCTCTCGTCTACCTCACACTGCCTTTTCTTTCTCCTTTCTGAGCTGTCTGATCTGCCTACTATTGCCTTCTGCGTTGTTATACATAATAGGAGTAAATGACATGGAAATATTCAATATGTAATATGCGATATGTAAGCAAGACACTTGGGCTATTGAACATGAAGTGCACAATGAAACATTGAACGGTGTTGCCAGCTCTCACGCATCTTGAGTGACACTCACATTTTCAGATTCTCTTGCTTACACAAGAAATCTTACAGCAAATCTATTATTCAGTTATAAACCTAAAATAAGCTACATCAAAGGCGTTGGGGTAGTTTGCAAACTCTACCAATTATTTACAAGGTAATAAAACTGTTACGTGTAAATGCGTGTACAGATTTGTCGATTTGAAAATCCCACACAAGTCAGCTGACCTAAGGTAGCAACCCTGATTGAAATATTAAAATTCACCTGTAAAGAAATCTGGAAAACTAAGGGGTGTTGCTTGATTTTGTTGAAAGATATTACAGCCGGAAAACTGAATATAAAGCTAACTTTACCACAGTTTCATAGTTAAGGTTTAAACCCAAACTTTTGGGTTTACCTCCCTGGTATTCTCGCTTGATGATGTATGTTGGGATATGCGGATCTATACTGAAATATTCCAGAAAGTAGGTTCACGTTTAAACCTTAACTCAAACACTGCAGTAAAGTTAGCTTTATATGCAGTTTTCTGGTTGTAATATCATTAACTGTTTAATTTTTTTCAGTGTTTATATGTGTGCACTTCACGTTCAGTAGTCCAGCTGACTTGCTTACTCACTAACGGCAAATGGACACTGCAATTATTAATGATGTACATTGTCCCCCATAGTTTAATGCTTAAAGCACACTTTACAACACATTTCTGTCAAGTTGAGAGTTTCCAATGCATTGATTTAACAAAACCCTCCGATTCTGTCAACACTGCTCTGGATCAATCCTCGTGATAATGTAACAGGAAAGGCAGACGTGGGTTGAGTGGGCTAATCCACATTTTTTTTTTTCAGTTCCGATCCGATCCCGATACACAACTGTCGATACCGATACAGATTCCAATACAAGAGCTATTTACTTTGTTATACTTTTAATTTTTTTAAGCTAGTAAATACACATGGAAAAAATGTATGACAAAAATATGTAATTAGGCTACTACAAACATAACGTACTGTTCCACCTCGTTTGTACGTCTTGTTTAAGCGTTTTTGAGGCATTTGCAGTTCAATATGAATATCTTCAAAGTAAGTATACACAAGTGGTGAATGCTTTAAAATTTTAATGCAATTTTTCTCCCATTGGCATCAGCTGTTAAACTTTGTTGCGATGGCAGCCACTCTTGTATCACAAGCTGCAGCGAGTTCGCAAAACAGTCCAAGTTAGCGTCTCCCAAATCATCCATTGCTTTTTTTTTTGTCTCTCAGTTGCGTGCACTTTAAGTGTGATTGTCCATTAAACGCTATTCCAACCTCTCAACTTTATTTTAAAAGATTGTGCAAACGTCATAAACACAACTACAGCCGAACTATTTATCGATTTCGAATCACAATTGCAATTTGAAACGACATGATTAACAAATTGCAAAGTCTGCGATTTAGGATATGCATTAACAGCACGTCCTAATCCAGGGTTTAACACTTTCATGAGAATAGTTTTACAAATTCATGCCATCTTCATTGTGTGAAAGTCATTCTCACTAGTCAGAAGCACCGCATTCCTCGCGTGCTAAGTCATGCTCACCAAACAGAAGTGGCCCAAGGCGACTACGTATACGCCCACAAACAGCAAACTTGTGAAACCCAAGGAAAATGTAACATTTTCAGTGAGAAATAATTCATATCCAAGTTGTCATCCTTGCATTAGAATATAGTTCAGTTAATATTTTGATTGTCGTGGTAATGGGGCATCATATGTTTTAAATCTATTACACACTGTATTGAACTGAAGCTTGACTGAAAAATTTTATCGCTAACTAAATCACAGTCACAGAAACTGTCTGACTTCTGGATTAAGGCATGAATATTGACCCTGCTTCCTCACATCATCCTCCCTTCCCCGCAGTGGACGTTGTGGTGGAGTACGATTACTGTGCCCTCCATGACGATGAGCTGACTCTCCACCCAGGAGATGTCATCAGGAATGTCCGGAAGGTGGAGGAGGAGGGATGGATGGAGGGGACCCTCAATGGGAAGACAGGCCTCTTCCCGGACAACTTTGTGAAGGTAGTGCAAGGGGTTGGACGTGGGTTTTCTGTAAGACTGTGCATGAAGCAAGAGACACACGTGTCCCCTTCTGTAGGGCTGACCAGTTTCTGTGGTCCGCAGGTAATAAGTGTAAGTGTGACTAAGGGCATGGCTTCTTAGGGTGTGCTGGTGCAGAATGCATGTGTTGGATGAGTGGGTAGTCTGTGGCTTTCCACTGCACACGTCAGACTCTGGGATAGGCTGTCTCCAATGAGCCAGTAAGCAGTGAGCTTATCGGGCTGAACTTCGTACCCGGATGTTGTATTTTTTTGTTGTTTTTTTTGTCTAAAAACTTTTTTGACGGGGCCTTAAGGCAGAAAACTATGTCTGAGGAAGAGGTGAGTCTGGTCATGCTGGCCTTTTTCCTGACAGTTTCCTTATGTCAGTATTTATAGACAAATCTGGTCAAACTCGCCCCCCCCCCCCCCCCCAAGGGGGGAGTGCAGATGGTGTCGAAACTGTAACAGACCTTGTTTGCAGACAAGCCTCTGATAGCGTAGGCAGTTTTGTCAGTCAGACAAAAACCACAGACGGACGAAAAAAATTGACTTGCTAAAAGTGAGTAGATGGATATCCGAGGTTGTGCACGGTTGCAGGCTCATTCAAATCATGTTTAGATTTCTATTAATCAGTCAGTGAACACTGACTCCTAACTTTGGCAGTGCATTGCAGAATGATGAGGCCCCGCCAGAACAGAAAGTACTTAAACTGAGTGCTGATGTAAACGCGTATGATTCATGGTGCACGGTAGATAAGTGTGTGTGACTGTTAATGTATATTTGGTGTGTTAAGCTCTTTAATGGCAGTTGTATTGCGGGCAGACAGTTACCACAGAGGAAATTTCTTCTGCCTCAGCTACCGTAAAGTTCTCTGGATCCAGAAAATCAACATAAAATTGAAATGTCACCTGTTTCTCTGGTTATGAGAAGTGTACTCTGTATGGGACAGTAGATTCTTGGGTTGCATCTTAAGATGTCACAAATGATTGAATCCGAATCAGAATACTTTATTATTCCCTGAGGAAATTATGTAGTTAGTTGCTCCAGGACCGTAAGAAAGTAATCAAGTTAAAATACCAATATTAAATAATACAGTGGTGCTTGCATTTCATGAACGCTGTGGTCTGCAAACAATTTGGTTTACAACCAAAGATTTCGTGAAAAAAATGCATTGGTTCACGTACAAAATTTGGTTGACGAACAGATTCCTCGACCAGATTCCTTTTTTCATACTAGTGCAGCACCGGCGGGGCGCATGTCCCAGCATGCCCCATGTGCAATTGTAAATAGAAGGACCACAACAAGCAGCAAACCCAAATACAACCTTGTGTTTCCTGTCTGTGTAAGACGTCGAACTGCAAGATGCCCACATGGTGGAAGATTTACACACGCTAAATACACACAAGGTTTGGAACGGGTACACACAAGACACGGGCAAACACACGCGTGACAAAAGGGAAACACAACCATTAACATTAACAACAACAACAATACAAGGGTTAGGGACTGTTAATAAAGTGTGATTTCCCCGGCAAGCAAGTCTCCATGTCCTGTGATGCCTTGGTCCACCTGTCAGCACCCTATATCGTGTTTTTCTTTAAAATTTTTATTATAAAAAAAAATTTCAATGCTTTCTTTTGGGGGAAAAATGCCTTGGTTCACGTACAAATTGGTTCACGACCACTTTTCCCGGAACGGATTGTGTTTGTGAACTGCAGGCACCACTGTACGATATATTACAAATTACAAAACATTAGCTCTAATAATATAATAACTCAATATAAATATCTTAATATCTTCTGAAATGTAACATTTCTTCATATTTATGTCTGTTTTAGGCTAGGCAATATGGTACGTATCTTTATTTTTAGGCACAATAGTAATACACTATGTATTTGGTATTATCTATTAAGTTGGTTAAATATGTGGCTTTAGGTTATAACTAAATGTAAGATTTCCAAAAACTTATTAAAATGGTGTGATCTAGACAAAATGCGAATGCAGGGTTTTATTGTTCAGTATAGCTGTCCCTCCAGGATTTCACCATTCTGCAATCACGGAAATTAACGGAAAATCAAGCAAACTGCAATATTTGCATGTGCTTACAATTTTTCAAATTTACTATGACTTTCCTGCAAGAAAGCAACAGATTCCTTACATATGGACCATGATGCATCCTGTGACGCCATCACAGTGCACGTTCATGCACGTTGTTTGCCAGACTCCTCTGCCGGGATATGATGAGCACAACGAACACATCTCATTTACCGGAAAGTCGACCATTTTAAGTTGGGTTGAACCATTATGTAGAGCACAAATGGACGTAGTTCACATAAAATAAGCAGTGGGCACTTTGGAAATGGACGCAATACATTTTTCTCTCAATGTATTTTATTGCAGCAGAGATTAGAAGAAATCACGGCTGCACTTCCGTGGATGATAAACACTAAACAGCCATTAATAATACAGACACAGAGCTATGGCTCTAGGAAAATCACATTGACTGGAAGAGATATGGAACATGACCAGACCTGCAATATATTGCAATGTAATTATTTATGCAATGTAAAACTTACAAAGTCATTACATATGTCTCTTTCTTCACTGGAAGTAATAAAAAACTATATTAAAAAATCCTGAATTCACAATTTTTCCAATTCATGCAAATTTTCAGCAAATGCACAAAACTCTACAATTTACACTGCAACTTTTTTTTTTCTGTAAAATGAAACTTTTTGACCATAACTATCATAAAAACAAACTCGAGGAAATCCCGCAGGGACTGATATTGACATTTTTCCTCAAAATAAAGACAATCTGTGTTTGATTCAAATAAAGCTTGTGTAACAGCTCAATGGCTCTGCTCGCACTCTTAGAATTTTAGGGTTTCATACTCAACCTTTTACCAAGAATTTGGGCTTTTACTCTTGACAGTAGTTTTAAATTAGACAGGCATTAGTTCTGTGGTCAAAACAAGTTTCTATCAACTCCGACAGCTGGCCAAAGTCAAGCCCTCTCTACCTCATAGGGATTTTGAGAGAGTGATCCATGCTTTTATTTCTGCTCTGCTCGACTACTTTAACTCCCTATATGCAGGCCTGCAGCACTCTGGTATTCGAGGCTACAGTTAGTCCAAAATGCGGCATCTCGGCTCCTTACGGGGACAAAAAAGCATGAGCATGTTACCCCAGTTTTGTCTGCTCTCCACTGGCTTCCTGTATCTTTTAGAACTGATTTTAAGATTTTATTGCTTGTTTTTAAGGCTTTAAATGTTGCCCCTTCTTATTTATCTGAGCTTTTAAGTATCCACACCCCAGTTAGGGCACTAAGGTCCTCCTAATCAGATGATTCTGAATGTTCCCAGGACAAGGCTCAAAAATAGAGGGGATCGGGCCTTTTCGGCTGTAGGACCTGTCCTGTGGAACCGCCTGCCCCAGAACATCAGCTCTATATGAAATTTAGAGGCTTTCAAGTCCTTACTTAAAATCCACCTATTTTCCTTGGCTTTTGGTTTGAGTTGAGCCCAGACATCTCAGTGTAGCATAATTGTACCTTATTTTATATTATTTTCATCTTATTTTAGTTTGTTTAATTGTCTCTATTGTTCCTTGTTTTATTGCTGGCTAACCTGTGAGGCACTTTGGTCAACTATAGTTGTTTTAAATGTGCTCTACAAATAAAGTTGAAGTAACAAGGAAGTGTTTCACTCCACTATGTCCACCAATACCCTAACTGGAAAGATCCACATTTTAAGGCATTAGCCTTCAATAAAATAAACAAATATTGCAAATTACAGTATTTTTAATCTGAGCGCTCTGGCATTGTTGTAAAACAAAGTGAACCAACTTGCAACGATCCCTCTCCTTTCCCCTCCATCAGCTTTTACATTAACTGTATGTTTTGATTTTATCTATGAATTCTGGGATTCTATAAAATATCACAACCGAAACTCCCATGTTTACAACCAAGGAAGAGTGCTATAGGTCTTTATTTAAAAATTGTGGCTCGTACCATTTTAACTCGCAATGAAAGTGTATCTAAAAATGGTACTGTCTCATTCTTTATCTCATTTGAAAATATATCGGTATCCCATTTGGTATGCTGCACAGCCAAACTATGCAACGAACGTATGACTATGTGAATGGTTTAATATGTTGATGGTGGTGATGATGATGATGATGATGATGATAATAAATAATGATTGTTACACATTTAGTCATTCAAAGGAAAAAAACACCTTTTCCAGCAAAATGTTTTGCAGCAAATTTTAGTTGTATTGAAATTTATTGATCAAGTAGCACAGCAGGAGGATAGTATGTGTGAAAGATGAATGCAGTGAGTAATGGCTGAACTGTTGGAGACGGGGAACTGAGAGCTGCTCTCAATGACTGACTCAGTGCCCGAGCTCCTGGTAACACACACACACACACACACACACTTTCTCTAGGGACTGTTGCAGACAGGATGTTGGAGTCTGTTTTTTTTTTTCAGGGGACCGAAGGGCTTGAGCTGTTGGGGGAGCCAAAAAATGTTGTGCTTTTATTGTATGAATAGTTGTTCACATTTTGTGTTTTACAGTGTAGTTAACAAGTTTGCGGTCTACCCCTGGTAAACTAGACTGTCGAAGAGGATATGCACAGCCAGGAGAAAGACATCAGACTGCTAACAAAGCAATTGCATGCAATTCCCTGGACTGACTGCTTAACTTGCAAGGAGTCCTGGAAACCTATGATTTACTTTAACTTTTGTGCATTTCCCGGAGATTAAGAAAGAGACCACGGAAGAAGGCAAGGAGGAACCTGTCCTGCGGAGGGACCGCGCCTCAGGCAACGTAGCCAGTCTGGTCCAACGCATGAGCACCTATGGCTTCCCTGCTGGCGGATTCCAGCCACACTCGCTTCCCAGGACCTTTGTGAAGAGTAAGCCATATCATGCCACAAGGGGGCGATGTGGTTCCAGGGTACAAAACGTGACGTACGCTTGATGAGTTTCTAGGTCGGGACGGTACTGGTTTTAAACACCAATTAACAATGCTCTCAGTGCTGTCAGATTGACTTGTAGTATAATGCGATTTTTTTTGTTTTTCAACACGGCGTTTGCTACACAGATGAGAACATGCACAAAAGCCTTAGCACTTACATCTCATTTCAAACCACAACCCCCTCCCCCACCAAAGGAAAGCATTACCATGGTAAAGCCATGCTTGCTGTTTTCTCATTAGATAAGGCCTTAACATGGCAGAGATGTGGCTTTGCTCGGTCTTGTGCAGCCAGGTCATCAGAAGACGCTGTCTTTCAGCCTGAATTGATCATATTTATGTTAGGCTGTTTGCTTACGGGAAGCTTCTATGCTGGGCAAATTGTACAGCATACGTGCTTCTTACTTTTATTCTCAGTCACACAGCAGGTATTTACTCATACAATTCAAGCAAAGAGAAACTAGGAAGTGGGAATTCAACCACAAGGCTGCCTCAGTGTTTAGTGTGCCAGGAAGGAGCCTCCATGAAGGGGTTAACACCCAGGCCCCCGGTGGCCGGCCGGCCGCTCACGTGCGTAGTGCCGATTTCACTTCTCCTGTCCTCGTCCCGCAGATTGGGGCCTGGAGTTAATGAGTAATGGGGGGGGGGATTGCACACCCCAGCATGTCACTCCGTGCTTGATGTTTAGGGTCTTGCGGCTGGGCCGATGGCTGCTTAGGTGCATCAGCTCGTCATCTCGATGCTGCACTAAAAACAGCCATTTTTAGTCGCATGCTTTGTCTTACTCTGATGGCTGCTGATTCTCATATACACACATGTATGTGTGTTTTTCTGTTTTTTTTTTTTTTCTTCTTTTCCTCCTGTGAATTATTCTACAGTTGTGAGCTGAGGACTTCCTGTAGATGAGCATAAGGCTAGAGCGTTGTCATGAACGCGATCGACAGCATCACAAGGCGCTTGTTTGTTGTAGCTCAGTTCTCCGCCTTCGTGGCAGCGTGCAGATCTGCTTGTTCGGGGGCGTGTCTCTGGTACGGGGAAAATGTTTCTGAAGCCAGCAAGTCCAAACCTTATTGTTTCAGGGCCAGGTCTGGGCATGTGCAATATTTTCTGAGAATGGGGGAGGGGGAAGGGGCTTCTTTGCAATGAATAACAGTGTTGTGCTAGTTGGGGATTCCTTGCCAGGTATGCTTACGTTTTCTGTTAGGTTCAGGTCACCAGTGCTACCTTACGCTGTGTTTTAATTGTAGTGTGGGTGCAGTCGAAAATACTATGCGTAGGTACTGTCGTCAGACCAGAGCAGATTTAGCAGAAATACTGGTCTGTTGTCACAGCTTAAATCCTTTCTTGGCCTCAGTGTCCTCTCTATGTTTTAGAACGTAAGAAGAGGCAGTGCAAGGTTTTGTTTGAGTACATTCCACAAAATGAAGATGAACTGGAGCTTAAGGTTGGAGACATTATCGACATCATTGAAGAGGTAAAAAGCCAGTGACCTTCTGAGTTGCCCATTTTCTGCTTTTTTTTTTTCTTTCCTTATTCCTACGTGTTGCGCAACCTAGTTCTATTTTAATAGTGACAGCTCAAGTGTCTGCTCAGCTGCCTTTATAAAGGTTCGACTATGTTATTCTCTAAACCATAGATTGACTGTGTGAGTTACATTAGTTCAGCGAAAACCCTCATTGTCTTTGTTGCATAGGTCGAGGAGGGCTGGTGGAGTGGAACGATGAATGGAAAATCTGGCCTCTTCCCATCAAACTTTGTGAAAGAAGTTGAAGTGACCGAAGACTCGGAGGCAAACCACTCAACAGATGAATCAGGTGAAGAAAGGAAAAACACCGAAGAAGCTTTCCTGTCTCCGTGAACGTGTGGTTGGAGTGTCCTGAGATGTCTTACCCCGCTGACGGCATGAGGAACTCTCATATTTACTCGCTGTTCTCCGCATTCCTACCAAATTTTATCGGCTATGTCTGTGCAAGTCCCTGCAAGAGCCATTCGGCTAAATCGCGCCCTGGGTTCTGTATCCGTGAGTTTCTAGGTCTTGGTCGTCTGTCTATGTGTGTTCACACGCTTGGTTTCTCGCAGACGGCGCGGCGAAGGACAGCACGGCTGCCCCCTCCACCACGCCAACCTCCCAGGGCACCGGCAACGGCGTCTCCGCGCAGCCGAAGAAGGTCCGGGGCGTCGGCTTCGGGGATATATTTCGTGAAGGTTCCGTGAAGCTGAAAGTTCGTCTGTCCAACTCGGACGCGGAAGAGAAGAAAGCAGAGAAAGTGAGTAAACTGCCATGTGCGCTGGAGGTTTGTAGCTGTGAACAAATTCACAGTGGCCGTCAGATTCATTTTTCAAATACTATATACCGCAAGGCCAGTACATGGCGTGTTGTTAGAAGTGTTCGCTGCATTATATTGAGCAGAGGAATAGCCCTTAAGGGCTCTGTGACAGATTTCACAACTTGAATTTACTCACAGCGCTTAAATGTCAAGTTTTAGTCCATATTTTCTTCGACCGAAAAGTGGTTTTACTAACATTTGGTTTGTGACAATGGCATGATAAAACAATTAGACATTAGTATTTCCATCTCTGCATACTAAACAATTTTGACTTTGAAGAGGTGTATTGTTAGACGCCCAGTTTTAATTGCACACCTCGTGTCGGTCTCTGATGTGTGTCAGAATAATTATAGGTGTAACAGACGTGTTAATAGGTTTCACAATCAACACTTTCTGAAAAAAGGTGTTGGATCATAGATTGTTGTTGGGGTGAAGCTTTCAAGCAGTTTGACTGTCTTAGTCCTGATGGAATGGAAAATGTAATAAAAACACGTATAATGGAGGCATGATGTAGAAATTTGGTATCTGGAATTGGCTCATAATGTGGTTTCTAAAATTAAGGCTGTCTGCCTGGCAGGATTTGGACATATTATTTTTAAAACACTTCATTGGCTGGTTTCTGTGGACTGAAAAGTAACGTGGGTTACACCTGGGTGAGGTCATGCCTGCAGTCTGACCAGTTTTTTCTTTCCCTCTTCCTTCATTATAGGCTTTTTTTTAAGGATCAAAAGCTAGTCTCATTTGTAGCTAACCCTTTAAAACCTCTCTTTCTTTCTCCCTTTTCACTGCAGCAACAAAAAGCCCATTCTCCAAGCTCATGTAGCTGGCTTCATGTGACATGTAGCCGGTCCATAAGTTTGTGGTGGTGTGCCATTTGTTCATGATTGCGGGACCCGTTCTTTTCACATGAAAGCTCAATGTCACCCAACCCATTCTTTCTGATACATGACTTGCATACTAACTGTTCTGGTCTTTGGACTGCTTACCAGTGGCCATACTGAGCTGTTTGTGTACCATGCATTAGTTCCACCTACATATCATGCATTGGCCTGGCAGTGTACTGTGCCAAATCATTTAAACCCATGTAACATTAACCTGTTTGGCAATTTTGTTACCTTCATTTCTGTATTTGTCCAGCTGAGTATTTTGAAGGTAAGCCCCGAGGAGAACTTTTCTCTGAGGTTCTTGGGCTTGAATCCCCCACATTTTTGTAAAAGTCATTACCCATAAACCAGCACTACACCTGCGTCATCTATGCTCCTCTTATTCTACCATCTCGTCTCCGCCGGTCGCCCACCTCCCACAGCCCAGTCACGCCAGTAAATCCATCATGTGGTTTTGCTTCATTTTAGCCACTGCCATCACTGCCATCTGCTGCAAAGCCTACACATTTGAACATGACAGACTCCGTTAAAGCAGATGGAGACAGCAAAATCAAAGGTAAGTACAGGCAAGACAGCGTGCTGCCTGTTTACTGACTTTAAGGTCCCCATGAGATTTTAAATGACACTTAAGCCACAGTCTGGTAAGATGTGTTAATGTTATGCACTGTGTGCTACTGGTTTTACAAAGGTGTGACATTTCTTTAGCACATAGACTAGGTCAATATCTTAGTTCACCCCTGATGTTCAACTTTTTTACAGCCATGATTCAAGGCAAACTTCACTGTCTGGTTTCATGACTGCGTCTGGACTCCCGAGTGCGTGTTTGCAAAAGGATTTACTCAGGCAGTAGGGCTTGCCAACTACTATGCATGCCATTGAATGACTTGGCACTAGGTGTGATCCTAGTTCAATTGTTGCCGCCTCAATGTGCCAGAATATCCTTGTCCTACCTGTATTTTGTAAGTGACGTCAATTGTGGAAATGGTAACGCACTGAAGATGGGCTTTCAAAGAGTGTTGAATACGAGTGCCTACCTTGAGGGAAATGCTGTTAACTTAGTTGTAGTAATGGACTGATATAACTGTTATCTGCAAGCCTTTAGAATCAGAATTGTTTGGTACTAGGTAGGGATGGGCAATAGGCCACATCACAAAATAGATCACTTTTTTTATTGCATACCAGATAAATTGAAATTATGCAAATTATCTTAACCATTTATAAAAGATGATTTGGGTTTTTAGCTCAAGGTCTAGTCACCAAGTTGAGTTCCACTGAGACGGATAACTGACAAAGTGACAGATGTAGACAGCACTAAGATGTGCATGCTGAAATTGCTTTGTTTTGCAGTGATCTGTTTGTGCTGTATTGCTGTTGTAGCCTCTGAATATGCAGGCATCGTGTGACAGATGATAGTCATCATAATAATGCTGTTAAGCGCTGCTGTATCACTATACATGCGATTAATTCTGAAACGCTTATCGTGGACACAAGTGCAACCGGTCATGATAAAATTGTCATATCTCCCGCCACGTGCTGGGTGTGTTAGGTGATGTCACTCTTCGAGTGTACCTGTGGGTCACAGAGTAAGGTGATTTATTTACTCTGATGATATTGGTGCAGCTGAAAACAGAATGTGATACCGTAGCATCCTCCTGTTGACATGAGCCCAGTGTAAATAGCTGTTGCTGAGTGTTTTCGTGAAGTAGGGTCCCATTTTCGACATCTTCAATACATTCGATAAAACTAACTTATTCTCTGCCCATAAGCAGCATTTTCTCCCACTTTGGCTGAATGAAGGAAATGAAACGTGACAGTGTGAGCACTTGGCTTGCTGGTATAAAAGCTAGTTTAGCTGATCTCTCATGGGGACCTGCTGTTGATGCCTATTTTTATCCATTTGTCCCAAGTGAAAGAGTACTGCAAGGTCACATTCCCCTTCGGTGCCACCAACGAGGATGAGCTGAATCTGAAGGAAGGCGACATCATCTGCATCCTCAGTAAGGTACGTTTAACCACCTCTCTTTCTTAGTCTTTCCGAAACCATATAATTTCTCTATGTCCGTCTTCGCTTATTCAGATTTCTCTGGCAGCAGCTGCTCTTCAGAACGATAGCTACCAAAGTAGATTGTAGTATTGCACAAAAGAGGACGTGTGAGCCAGTTAGTTTCTTGCTGGCCTAATGGTTCGAGTGCTTTGTTCTGAACGTAGATATTGCCTTTTATATGCTAAGCTTTTGAGTACATCGGTGGCAATCCCTGGCTTGTGCTCTGCGTTGGTGGCAGACATTGGGGTAGCGTGTTGCGCTGTGCTTACTGCCTGTCGTGTCTGGAGGTACCACATTCCTGAGCAGATGTTACTATTGGAGGGATAAGGGCGTAGGGGGGGTGGGTGACCCAATGGTGTTTTGCCAGTTGCTTTTTCTTACTTTTCATGCATAGAACTTGCATAGAACGTGCAGAACCCTAGTGACGGCTAACCAGTAAAAGCGTTTGTTGCTCCTTCTTTCTCTCGTATCTGAGCTTTGGGGAGAGTGTAAATCTTTAGGTTATATTTATTTTCGGTGTGCCTGAGGGAGGAGTTGCACCCACAGCATTCTGCAGCATGCAAATGACTGGGACTCATAGGTGTTTGTTTCTCTTGATCATTCGAACCTGTGCACTTGAATTTTTGTGCAATTGCTCAAAGCGGTGCGCCTAATAAAAGCTGTAGCTTCACAACAAGTTTATAAATGATTAAATGCAACCATCCAGTTAATTGCTTATTCTGGTTGGGAAATAAACTGATTTTGCCGAGTTGTGAAACATTAGAAAAGCATGTGCACCATCTAGTGGTTATAAATAGCAGCTGCTTGTATGCAGAAAATTACTAAAACAACCACTCATTTAACGACCTAGTTCAATTCCAATGACCAGATTAAGTGGAAATTATGAATGTCACTAAACTGTGACCGCAACTATGCTTAGGACTTCAGCCTTCCATTCAGTTTCTTCAGGAAGTGGACATTTTGTACATTCTACTTCAAAGATCTCTCTCTCACTCTCTGTCTCTCTCTCTCTGTCTCTCTGGTGTGCCTTGTCTGCCGTACAAAATTTGCCCAAAACGTGCGCATTGGTCGGAAGATGATTTTATTTTATTTTTTTTATCATCGTATTTGCAAACGGTCACTAGATGAGGTACTCTCCATACAAGGAGTAGTGTTGTTTATTTTTCACCCTTAAATGCAACCAAATGGCAAATGAGTCTTTCCTTTCAGGACACTGGAGAACCTGGCTGGTGGAAAGGCGAGATAAATGGCAAAGAGGGGGTCTTTCCTGACAACTTCGTGACTGTGATTTCGGACTCTGACAAAGAGGTGAGGTCACTATAGCCCTTGATATGGGAACTTTCCCAGACTAATATGTAGCTGATGTCATTTTAAGCTGCTTATATTACACAGTGTTATTACTTATGATATGTAATTACAAATTAAGGAATTACATTCCTGGTTTTCCTTTAACAGGGAGTGGTTTCCAAGGGGTCATTTAAATTGTCTTCTAAACAAGATTCTGAAGAGGTAAGTCTGTCTTCCGACAGCCTGTGGAAGGTCCTGCTTCAGAACTCCTGTTCACTAAGCAACACATGACTAGTGATTAGTTATTAGTCACACGTTAGGTGAAGTCTTGTTTCCTGATGCATTTACATATTTAACTGAATGCATCAGTAATGAACCGCTTCATTTTCAACCAATGGGAAAAGTGGCCGCCCATGTGATTCCATCACTGTTACATTTCGTGGCTGGGCTGATGTGAGAGAGGCTGCCCCTAGAGGTGAAGCCAATCCAGTTTGTCGAATTTTCAGATCTGAATGGGAAAAACTATGGGTTTGGCATAACTATGAATATGAGAGAGTAGCACTGCTATGATAACTCTCAATCTGAAGCAGTATGAGCACCTGTTTTTTGCCCCCGATACCGACTAAGATGCGCACTTCCGAATAGTGCGGTGTAAGCCACTCGTTGCATTCCACTCTGCATACTATGTACTGCATCGAATGCTGTGACATCACGTTCGCTTGACTCCACCCCCTGACCTCTAGGCTCTTGACAGTAGATGCTGCAGCGCAGAGATGGAGAGCCTAGTGGAGTAGTCTGTCTATTCCGGCGTAGACTGATTGTGTCCCCTCTGGCCCTCCCAGTCCACAGAGACTAATGAGTGTCAGCAGAGATCAAACTCAGATCTCCGCAGTTAGGAAGACCTGGCTTTGCTAAAGTGTTCATTGAAGAGCAGTGCAGGCAGAATTTGCCAACCTTGGTTGAACTGGGCTATGTTTCCCCAAAGCATAGTTACTAACAGCGTTGTCAACGTGCATAGCTGGAATCATACAACAGGCCCCTTGAGTGAGGCCCTTAACCCCAGTTTCTTTTGAGAGTGGCTGACCCCGTTTTCTCAGCTGCATGCCACTTTGGATGCAAGCATCTGAGAAATTTTTTAACTTTTTTTTTTGTATCTTGGAATTTCTTAAACAAAAGAGCACACATTTCACTGCAGGACAGGTCTTCCCCAGACAATTGATGTAGATTTCCATTTTTTATATTTGTCAAAATATGTATTTAATAAGCTGTAGCTTGTCTCCGGAGTTACCCTGATTTATTCAGAATCTAACTTGCACCAGGCATTGCACTGATTCAGTGTTATTTTAAGTTTTAGCAAAAGTTTTCAGCATTGGTTGAGCAGTTTACCTTGTGAAGTCCATGCAGTTTGACGTCTTGTTTATTTTGAGATTCAGCTGCAAAACAGCTGACATTGCCAAGAGAATATTAGCTGTAGACTGATATTTGAGTTTTTTCCCTGGGGTGCCAATAGGTGTCAATGCACACTAGGCTTGGGAGGTCGAACTTCGTTGTGCAAATAAAATTCGAATTTTTAAATAATATTTGCATGATTGTTGCAGGAATCCATCTTTATTGAAGATTTGTGTAGGCTACTATTAGCTAAATGGCATTTGTCACGTAATGTAGAATGAGGGATCTGCCACTAGAGGCAGACTTCCTTGAATTAATTCAGCTACCCAGAATGGCTGAAACTAGTCAGCAAAAAACTAGTGAAATAATATATGAACCGTAAGAGGAATGCAGTGATATATAGTAACTCCTGAACACCTGAAAAGTGCTACTATTAGCTAAATTCAAAAACAGATCAGACAGATTCAACAATGTTAACATTAGACACAGTTCTAAAACAAAGGTAGCATTTTACTGCGCAATGTCATTTGTGTTAAGCTATTTCATGTATATTGGCATATGCTGGCTGTCTGGTGCCAATGATTTGGTATTTTAATTTCACTCCACAATTTCGACAGCTGTCGTTGCTGTTGCTGATTTCTGTAGACTTGCATGTACTGTGGGATCACGGGATGGTGAGCGACTGAGAATAAGATACTGGCTGTTGGCTGGCGTTCCTGTCCTCTGAATGGCTAAATAGTGTTCTGTTAATGTCCCCTCATCTTCCTCACTTATGACAGTACTAGGCTAACATTACAGGTTTCACTTTTTACGATCTGTTGCACACAATTGGGTTAGGCTACTGTGCAATGATAGGCTAGCCCTGCAGTTTAATTGTATATTTAATATTCTAATTTCTTTGAGCGTGTACAACTGTATATACTTTATTTGTTAGTGATGTCTCTACGGTGGATGGCATTTTAATTTTTCAGTATCTGGCACATGTAATATAAAGGGGTGAATTAGCATTGGATCCTACAGGAGCTCTCTGCCCCTTGTAGTACTAGCGTGAAACGCGTAACGCAGTTGAATGTGTGACTGGAAGGCAGCAATTTCCCCGCTGTGGGACTCATTCACTCACTTTTACCTTCGTCAGTTAAATGTTTTAAAAATTCAAAAACCTTTTAAAAAGGAGTTTCCCACAATCATTGCAATTCTATCAGATGTCTTTGTTTACTAGTTCTACCAGTCGATATTGAAATGGGTAACTGGTTTTGTGTGCTGGTGTGGCTGCTGTTGGAAAGCTTATTACCACTGAGGAATATAAAATACCGACTCCAGGGAGATACGGATACATTAAGATTCCTACATTGATAACTTTATAAGTTTTTTTTATTTTTTTCCCTCCTCTGCAGCTGTAGTCTGTATTTAAAGGATGGAAGCACAGGAAACTTATTAAAACATAAAATGTGTTGAAGACGTCTTCTGGGGTGGGGTGGGGGGGGGGGGCATGGAGTCACGGGGTGGGTGATTAACTGTCTGGTTAGTACTGATTAGCTCACATGAAAACTACTACTTTTAACAAGATTTTCCTGTAAATGGTTTGTGATTCAGGACTGTGTAGCCCCCACAATGGCATCGATCCAGGAAAAACACAAATAAGTGATTTAGAAAGTGAAAGTTTGTGGGTGTGTGAGTTTGTTTTTACTCCCTGGATTTCGAGGTGGTTGACTTTTTTTATATTTTATTATTTTGTTTAAAAGCTAACCTCAAGTATGGAAGAACTGTTTGAACAGGTAAAGACACTAACTGACTTAATCATATTAAGTGTTCTATTGGTTGCAGTGCTTTTTTCAATTATTAATCCAGTGTGGTGGTTTTTAGAGGAATAGATATGGTGCTTAATAAATTAGAGTTCTGCGCTACTGAAGAACTGACAGGGTACTTAAGTGTCATTGTGCTGCCACTGCTGCAGGCCTGGGTTATACCATGAGAGAAACTCGCCTTGCAGATGGTGTGTGGAAGTGCATTTTAAATATGGTTCTCCCAGCATCTGAAGACATTGCCAAGATTTCACTGCATTCCAGTAGCGCAGTAGCAGTTCACAGGAATAAAAAAAAATCACAGTTCGGTTCCCTTTCAGTGCCGGACCTAGAATTGGTGGAATTTAAGGACCTGTAGCATTCTTAAAGCCTCCTGATCATTGCATCCTTTCTAATCACTCTGAAATGTGCCTTGACTTCTGAAGCCTCACACAATGTCTGGGGGCTTTTAAAGCTCACCAAAGGCTCCAACCACAAAGTTCAGCTGATCCAACTTCAGATAACTGGAAGTAAAATGTGCTGCTGATATTTATTTCATCTTCTGCCTTTGACTCTTGCACGACTGAAGATCATTTCTTTTTTACGATTGTGAACACTGTGGTTTATCTCCATTTAGGGCTGTTTTTGTCGCCACTGTGCTAGGTTAGATAAGCTAGCAGTGCTGGTTGGATGTGTGCTTCTCTGGTGCTTAAAGCTTGGTGTGTGTGAGATAGAGTGAGTGAGTTTCAGGTTATAATCAAGTAATTTGTTCTTGCTCGCTGGTCTTTTGAAACAGTGTTTAGAGAGCTGAAGTTTATAAGACACAAATTTCTTTAATCACGTTTAGCCCCCTGTTGGTTGCAGTGCTTTTTCTATTCGTTAATCCTGCTGATTGAGCCTGGGGAGGAATAGATACCCTGGTTAATAATTGATTTGTGGTGTTTGTGCTAATGAGAGTCTTGTAACCGTGCAGGGTTTCTCTCACTCAATTTCAAATCTGTTTCTGTTCTTCAGATGACCAGAATGTCAAAGGTCATTAAATCATTATGTTCTCCTAACAAAGCATGAGCAACATGTTATTGTGTGATTTGTGCACTGTTTTGCTCTCCAATTCTGCTGTTTTAATCTTCCTTTCCTCCAGCTATGGTAAAGAATTTAAGCGGGTGCTGTTTTCTTTGATACACCAGCAGTAAGAAGTTTGTGATTGTACATAACCTGGAACCTTTTTCTGTGTAATGAGGGAATATGTTGGTTCCAGGTGTCTGTTGTATGGCACCCATCACAAGTGTCAAGAAGAGTGTTTGGAATGGTGTCAGTCTAAAGCAGGGGTCTCAAACTCCAGTCCTGGGGGTTGGAACCCTGCACAGTTTTTGGTTTACCCTCATTTAACACACCTGATTAAACTCCTTGTGCTAATTACCACACAACTCCTGAGCTGAATCATTTGTGGTGGAAGAGGGAAAGAACTGAGCTACACAGGGCTCCGGCCCCCCAGGACTGGAGTTTGAGACCCCTGGTCTAAAGCTTTAACCTTTTTTTTTTCCTCTCTTCATTTCAGAAACCCAAAAAGCCGCCACCACCATCAAAAACCTTGGGTATGTCAGCTGCGGCTTGATTGCTTAGAATTCTGGGGATGTGCAGAGCTGGAAAGCCAGTGGTGAAGATCTCAGACATGAATGTACTTTTGCAAGCTAAACATTTACAAAAGTAAATTTACAAAATCCTTTTAGTAATTTCATTAGACTAAAGGCAGTATCCCCAGTGACCCAGAGGGAGAAAGGTTTTTATATTCTGAGAAACAGGGTAGCCTGTGATTTTAGCTTTGAGAGCTTAAATGTCTGTGATGGTGGGGGAAAAACAAGTAAGCGTGAGGAGTAGCAGAGGAACATCGTTTTGCAAACGCACACGTGCACACATGCAGACCGGTTAGTGGAGCAGCATGCCCGTTACAGGAAGTGCGACGGCTTATTACCCGCAAGCCGCACGGAAGCAAGACGACTGTCTGGCCGTAGTCTCTTTGAAAGCACCTGTGGAGTAGGAGAGCAGACAAGGCGGGGGGAGCCACCTAACGGGAATGTTTCGACTTATAGGCCTGAAGCCGGAGGTCCCCAGTGCTGACAAGAAGCCACTTCAACCTAAGCTGGAAGACAAAGGTAAGAAGCATTTGTTGCACGCTTCCTGAATTCCTCCTTCTGCTCAGATCAATCTGTACCAGTATCCCTGTTTATAAATCTGTGCCTGAGAATTACTTGCAAGACATATAAGGAGCTTTTGGGCGGCCTGTTTTAAACGATTACATTTTCATCCGGTGTGACTGAGTGGTTTTGACTGGTAGCCCTTTGGGTGACTCTTAGCACAGAGGGGTCAGCTGACCTAACTCATCAGCGAGCCATCGCTGTACACAAAGACGTAGGTGCTGCTGTTGTGTTGAGATGGTCAGTTGGGGGCTTTCTCCAATCTTTCCTGTTCCATTTTCCACTTTCCACATGTAGTATCTCAGACATATCTCTATTTTTATTTTTTGCAGGGTAAGATGAGCAATAGTGTAGGGTTCCTTGGTTTTCACTGTATTTTTGGACCTTTCATAAGATATTTGTCACCGCTTTAAACTTGTGCCCTTAGTCTGCATAGAGCTCTCATGTTCATGAGGTGGTTTTTTTGCTGCTGTTGGAACATTTTTTCCCCAAAAAAATCTGCCCTTGCAATCAAAAAAATAAACATGTCAAAATACTTGTATTTTGCTAAGTTTGGGCTGAGTAGTGGTTAAGGTCATCATTGCTGGGGTTAGAGTTTTGCCCATAGAAATGAATGGATGGTCCCCAACTATGCATATATGAAAACAAGTGTGTGTGTGTGACTGATTTGTGATGTAAGTCCCACATGGCTGTCACAGCCGTGTGACTTTGATGCTGAGATACAGAAACTGACACTTCACAGGAAAGTGCATGCGCTGAATACATCGTGCAAGGTTTCCACCTGCCCTAGTTTCCATCCGTTACACAGTTGTGGGAGGGTTCTTGCTGCGATTGCAGGCATTTGTCGGTTTGTTTGGTTGGCTTAAAAGGCACAACAAGCAGATGCTGGTGTTTGTGTAGAACGAAGTTCTGTGCAGGGAAATTGCCCCCAATCCTGGCTTGTTTTCTTTTCATAAAGACCTATCTATTTGCTGTGACTTTTTGATACTATAGGCAGGTTTACTTAAGCCCACAATTTGATAATCCTTGTAGTACCGAAAAGCCAGCATCTTTACCGATTCATACTGTTATCTAAAGCCCTGGGTAGCAGTATTTATTTCCATAGGGGCCTATGGAACTTCATTTTATAATTTACTGCTATTTTGTTATATGAAGCAATTCAGTTCAATTAAGTTCACATTAGGTCAACTTTATTGCCCTGGTATACACAGGTACCCATATAACGTGATGTCAGTATGCTAGTCGTGTATGAATTTGGATTGATTAAGCTAAAGGCTGGTTTGTACTTCTGCACACATACGAGTGGACGTCAAACGTGTCATAAACATTTGAGCAGACACATCATTGTGTGCCTCAGCGGATGAACGCCGGCTGTACCCAAAATTTGTGTCCATGCAGAGGTGTACGCAGGCACACTGCACATGATCGCTTTGCTAGCATCCACTTTAAATACCAACATGGATTCTTTTGGCAAGCGTTGGGGCAATTTCCAAACCTTACAGACTATTTACAAGGTAATAAAACTGTTACGTACATGTAAATACGTGTGTAAGTGTGTGCAGACATGGAATTGAAAATCTCACGCCAGCCAGCTAAGCAACGTTGACAACCCTGTGAGCTGGCTCACTATAAAACACTGAGACACTGACACAAACATCACTGCTTTGGTACGTGTGCAGGGAATATCAGAATAATTTATATTATTAATAAAAAAACATAAATACAACGATGTTGTGCGCATATGCAAAGTATGCAACTTGACCAGAGAACTATGAACGTTTCCGTGTATGCGTATGCAGAGTGGATACACGAGTGTCGCGCTTGTGTGGAGAAGTATGAACCAGCCTTAAGAAGCATGACTAACATATAACGAGCTTGTGGCCTCATTCAGGGAGAGGATGTGGAGGTGGTGCAGTTATCCAAGAGGTGTTTCCATCCCAACAAATACCATAGTTCTGGTACTTTCCCTTTTCCACTGACTTGTGGTCAAGTACCAGTACCAAAAGTACCATACCAGCTGGGGTAGCCTGCCTTTGAAACATGCTACGCAATAACTAAGTTTTTTTTTTCCGTGACAATAAAAATGTTTTAGAGCAGGGAGTTTGTTTCGCTATAATGTCTGTACAGAATTGAAAGTAAGACTGATCTTGCATCGCTAGTCAGCTAGATTAAGAATTGAATGTGCAGAACATGCAATGTTGGTATTATCGTACATTGTCTAGCCCTGTAATACACTGTAGCTGTTTTTCAAATTCAGCCCAAAAGTACCCCGCCTCGTCTCGTGATCTCATTCGGTGCCATTACAGTGGAAAACCAACACCCTCAAGTCCTATACTTGGTACTTTCTCAAAGCAGAAGTGGAGAATGCTGATGCTCTGTACAAGACCAGAGGAGGCTTTGCTTTTGGAGAAACCTAAGATCAGTGGTTGGACTTGGGAAAACCATTAGTCCAATAGTCAGTAGTCCCATTCGTCCATCTGTTTATCAATGCCTGTATAGTATTTTCATTTATGTACTTTGTCACACCCACTTGGGCCCAATATAACCTACCTAAAGAGAAATAAAATTAAAAATCCAACATGCATAGAATGTAGGTTCCTTTAACATGCTTGAATTTGTATGGAGTAACTCTACAGTAATATTTGAATCTTTCTCCTACTTCCTCACCCCAAATTAGAGAAGCCAGTGCTGGATCTCCGACTATCCCTCAAACCCACAGCCCCAGTGGTCCCCCCGAAGAAGCCCGCTCCTCCACCAAACAAAGCAGCAGCGGCAGCAGCGCTGCTCAAGCCCGGATCCATCCCCCCGAAGCGGCCCGAGAAGCCACAGCCCAGCCCTCTGGGTGCCAAGTGAGTCCCCCTTGTGGTCGCCCCATTTTCCCCCGTTTTCTCATGTGAGCTAAAACCACAGTGTCTTCGGAGTCGCAGCGCTAGCTATGCAAGCATGAAATGCCAGAGAGTGTGTGAAGTATCCACTGCACAAATCATTAACTAATAAAAAAAAAATGAGAGCTTATTCAGTGATCGAGTGCTGTGCTGTTTATTTGGAGCTATACCTGAGATCTTAACTGCTACCTGCTAGCAGACTCTACAAACAGTCTCTTTCCTGACTACATTCACCAAACCATAAACTGTCTGTATTATATCATTTCTGCACACCCTATTTTTTGTTAATTGTCTTTTCCTGTAACTTGTGTGAATATATGTCATGCTTCCTAAGCCATACCTATACATATTTGTTTAAATGCTTGCAGTTTTCTCCGGAATCAATAAAGTCTATTTATCCTGAAAGTCTGGAATCGGGGGGGGGAAAAAGTATTCCGTCAGAAGTCTAATGTTGGCTCTGTCTTGAATGTTCTTTCTCCTTTTCAGGCCCAATGGAGAGATGCCTTCCACTCGGCCAAGGTCCGAAATTGAAACAGTGCTACCCAGCAAGCTGAGAACTCTGTCCGGCGACTGGGGAGAAAAAGCAGTTGATATGGGTACCTTAAGCCATTCAGTTCCTCAGGCTCTGGTTGCTGTGCTGAGTTCTAGCTGCTAAGATGTTATTTGTTTTTTGTGTTTTATGTAGACATTTTTCTTTAGAAGTGAAGACGTTGTTGGTGCCGGTGGGGGCGTAGGGTGGGGGCAGCTGAAGCCTCATAACCCCTTTATTTTTTATGTCTGGGGTGTGAAACATTGGACTAGTTTTAGGAATAAGCACCTGCGACGACCCACAGCTGTGGGGATTCTTGCTGCGTCGTAAGTTGTTTCTGTTTGAATTTGGATCTGCAGAGACTTCAGGCGCCACAACAGGAAGCTCTGCTTCAAGCAGAACTGCTCAGCAGCTTGTAAAAAGAGCCAGAGATAAATGCAATGTCAGAAGTGTGTAGTTTTATAAGTGACACAGCTGGTTTTTGCTATTTGATAGGATTTCATTAGAAAAGAGGATTTTATTGTGGGTCCTGTGAGTGCTGTGTGATCATGTCTGATTCATGTATAATGTTAGCTTTGCAGTGGACAAACACGTCTTCTGGTTGTCTTGGTTTTCCCTTTTGACTTCATTTGGGCTTAGCGATAAGTGAGGCTAAGAGGGGTAAGCCTTCTCACCCCTAGAGGTGGAAGAGTGACAAGGTGCTAAAACGATAGCACCTCTGAAGGTCAGGCACACAGGGAGGTGTGTAATTCTGACCATTTGTTTTCAGGGATAACATTTTCTTATTGGTTATTCAGAGATGTTGATGTTGAAAAATGAAACGAAGGGTGATGTGATTGGTGTGGCAGGGTGTCGATCTGCTTTGCATGGTGTATTTTTTTTTTTCCCTCTTTGGGGGAGATTTTGTGCAGTAACTTGCAATGATCAATCTGAAACTTCCATGTTTGCATTCTTCCACTTCATGTTCAATCTCTGCACAATTAAGTAAAAATCGGGTACTTGTGGGTTGTAATAGAACCCTGCTACTTAAGTACTTTCTGAGAAAGGATATTGATTTCAGCAGACTAATGTGACTAAAATTGTTGGATCCAGTCAAACCATATAAACCTTACAAACAGTCTAAGTGATGTAGTAGAAATGTCTTGTCCCCATTTTCTTTTTAACCTGCACCTGCAATTGAATGTACTTCAAGTGCTTGGCACATTTTCAGGAATTAAATAAAGATAGTGCCATCTGGTTTTTGGAGGGTGTATTGCACATCCTGTTTCAGGTAGCACCTTAAGTAAGCATGGTATACTGTTTTGCATACAGAAAACGTAAAGCATAAGTTTCAAGTTTTTGGTTTGCCTAGGGATTATGCTTTATGTCGATTTCCAAGAGATTTCATTGTTTGTAAATAGTGTTGTAAATGTTGAGTATTTGTTGGGTGTAAATATTCAGATGTATTACTTGTTGATCCCAGACAACTGACACTATGAAATATATGCACTGTTGCCTTTTACTTCATCTGTCTTTGTTACCACCTTATAATCTGAAATCACTACCAAGTTAATCTGGAGTTCTAACAGCAGAGGACAAGCAAAATCGTAGACTTCTCTGCTGTCGGTTATTCATCACCTGACCTGGTTCCCGTTCACTTCATAATCACTAATAATTCCTCCGAATCTAGACCTTATGAGCTTTGATGAGCTCCCTTCTACCTCTGAAAAGCTGACCCATCCCACCACCAGCCGACCCAAGATGCCTGGAAGGAGGCTTCCAGCACATTTTGGAGGAAGCTCTTCTGTGAGTCTCACATACAAAACACAGTTCCTGTTCTTTGGCGGTGTGCTTCTGAAGAACGTCCATGTATTACACCTATTTTTACTGTGTTTCAATATTAATATTTCTTCCAAGTTGAACCCAAAGTATCATTTGATATGAGTAGTGCTATTGTCTGCGGTTCTGTGTTTGTTGCGAAGAGGTTTATTAGGGAGTGATACACTTCACTATTCGCCCGAGGCATGACTCGTATTCTAGGCCGGTTCCTCTTCTCGCATGTTCTTCACACGTGTTTCCTCTTTCAGCCAAATAAAGAGGCAAGTGCCGAAAAACCTGCAAAGCAGGAGGATGAAGATTTTAAGCCAAAGGTAACAGACACAACAAAGGTATGGTTGTAACTGCTATATGAAGTAAGTGTGTGTGTGTGTGTGTGTGTGTGTGTGTGTACATTGTTCTGCTAAATAGTGTGCAGTTTGTTGTTTAGTAAAGTTCTCAGTTTAGCAATAGGACTCGATTGGTTTGAAAGTACCCCTGGAGAAGCATGTGTGTGACCTTGAGTAGCTTGGATATTCACACAGTTCCTTTGTGATTGTCTCCGAATCAGTTTGGATTCGGTCAGCTTTTCACACATGGCTCACATATTGTTCGGGCACATTAGTGGGTGTGATGTTCTTGTGCTGTGCTGTCTTCCTTCACAAAGATCAGCTGACCACTGAACCTTTAATCCCCGAGGAAAGCTACATACAGCTGGATATTAAGCTGCAAGTGCAATTACGTTGCAAAAACAGCTAAATTGCATCTCATTACAACTTGCCAAATATTTATCCACATTAACTATTTTCCTTGTTGGTGAGAGGTTGTGAGTCTTATTAAGAAGTTTGGTTATAAACTGTAGCATAAATAAAACGAGTAGTGAGTTTCCAGCTTAAGTAGCTCCAGTTACAGGGAGGAAGTGTGACTGTTTGTATGGCTGCTTAGGGAAGCCAGGGTGACTTGTGTGGAAACTGGATCCGAGATTCAGTAACTGTGGAGCTGCCATTGAACCTGTGGGCAGTCTACTCCTCATGAGCACAACAGTCTATACTGGGGAGGGCTTGAAACAGCTGAACTATAATTATTCTAATGGCCTCGTGTCTCCTGTCTGTGTGGATGCGTTCAGCCATCTCCGCTGATTGCCTCGTCATCTCCTGCCCAAAAACCGAGTCCGAGCAGCAGCCTCACGTCTGACCCAAAGCCCAAAGGGGACGCTGAGGACTGGGCCTCTGAGATGGAGGATCTCCGTGCACAGATGAAAGAGCTCCAGCACACCGTAGAGTTTCTGAAGAACCAGCAAAAGTATGATTAGTGGCACATGGTCACTTGAACATTGACATTGTCATCTTTCATCTCTGACTTGGAATATCCTGTCTATCACTCCATCCGTAAAAATGATTAGCTCTGTTTCATACTTGGATTAAGAAGTTGTTTGTTTTTCCTCAGGCGTGAGCTTGACGACTTGAAAAATGACCTTGATGAAGAGAGGCAGAAACGACTCACCTTGCAGGTACGCCGACGGAGCTTCCGGTTTCGGTGCTCCGTGCTGTCGGACGGAATTGTCATGATACTTGTTTGAGGGAGACAGTGTACCATGAAATTGTATGTTTGGATCACTGCTGGGTCACACCACCAGATCTATTTGGTCAACAATGATCAATCAGCTAACCCCTTACCTGAATTCCCAGTAGGAAAAACAGGGATGAGATGCACTGTCAGTCGTCAAAAAGACGGATAATTGCTACCAAAACAGTACTGTTTGGGCATGGGTAACTGCAACTGCTGTTGTGGCATTTAAGAGTGCATACCTACATATCTAAAGTTTCCCCACAGAGGTATTCAGTGGGAAAAAGGATGGTATACTGTTTTGCATACAGAAAACGTAAAGTATAAGTGACCAGAAGGGGTATTGTACCACGTCTAGTATGAGTTTGGCCATACTTTAGGCTACTTTAATGTGGAACACCCTGGCCCCTGATCCATTTCTATGGCACCCTGTTGTTGGTGTGGCTGCTGTTGGTCTGTGTTCTTTCCATCATCAAAGTTATTGAGAGCCATGTAAAACAGGAATAGTGTGCAGTGCTTTTCTTTCAAAACGTAACAGTAACATTTCAGACTCACAGTTCCCCTGCAGTGATATTGTTGGTCTCAAGGTCCTGAAGGCCACTAGTGTTCATGTTTGGCTGGGGAGTGATTCTATGAAATTCCATCTGTGGGTTTGCTGGTAGCCAAGATGAACATGAGCTGCTTCACCTCCGGCCGGGCGTCTGAGCCACTCAAATTCAGTGTGTGCCATGCTTATCTTTCCAGATGGAGATAGAGAAACTAAAGAAGACCGTCCAGTCTGTGTGAGACGCTTCAGACCTCTCCACACCAATCAGCTCATTACCTTAACAGACAGATGAAAATACTGTTGGCGGTTCATTTAGTACTTTTCAATTTATCTGACATTTGTAAAAAAAGAAGAAAAAAATACGATTACATTTTTTGCACATAAAGTTTTCTAGTTAAAGGTGTAATTAAATACAGATGTATATTGTTTTTTTGTTTTGTTTTTTTTATTTTGTTTTTGCCAACAAATAATCGGGGCCTTATTTACTACTGTGCTGAATTTGCAGTCTGCATTCATAATTGAATGTCTAATGATTGCTTCCAATACTACTGAATCTATATAAAGGGATGGGGGATTCTTATTCTTTTTATGGAATACAGATAGTTGATTTAAAAATTCATTTTATTGCTGCAATTACTATATATAATATATAAGCCTCTTTAAAAGAATATTTAATAAGACCTTATTGCTTTAACAGTGACATATTTAGTTGCTATGTCAAAAGGGAGATATTTCTCTTTTCCTAATATTCCTGTCCAGGTTAACATTTTTGTGCCGGTTGAAATTCAAGTGTTACTCTTGAGAGCTCGATATATCAAAGTTTTGAGTTATACTATATATTTTTACAGTCCGGTGATTTTCCACCTTGTTTCTTTGGAATATCATGTGAAATTCTTTCAGGAAGAGAGTGAAGTTGTAGTATGTTCTCTAAATCATGTAGTCATCATAGCGCAGTGTTCCCCAACCCGGTCCTCGGGGTGCTCAGACAGTCCTCGTTTTCACTCCCTCCTGGACAGACCACATTGGACTGTCTGGGAGACTCCAAGGACCGGAATGGGAAACACTGGTATAGCCAACAGTCATTTGAAGAGACCTTTTCTAAATGCAGACTTCCTTCATATGGGTTCCTCACTTTCTCGGAAGTGTAGGAGAACCTAGTTACCTTTTGAAATGTTGCATAATTCCTGATTGTGTTCAAATGGCAGCAACCCAAAATATACCAAGTCAACATTCCTTGGCCTTTTTTTAATATATAATTCCGACATCCCAATCATAGTATTTCATATTTAGTTGGTCAGAATAGTAAGAGACGGAGGTGGCCAATAGTGGTTTAAATTGGCTAGGTTAGGTACTGTATTATTGCACATTTGAGTGTGCAGAAACTGAAATGGTGGAGCATGTGGGATGGTGTCAATGAAACCTCAGCTCAGGCCATAACCCTGAGAATTCACCTCCAAAAACCAAAGAATTGGGAGCAAGAACAAAAGATTCCTACTTGAAGCTGGTGACTGTTCATTGCAGTCAATTGCAGTTTGAAAGCATTCGGATGCTCCTTGGTGGTCAGACAAACTAAAGTACAGATAAAATACAGCATTTCCTTTCATCCTTTCAAAGGCCAAATGCCCGACGCACCAACCTATGCAAGTTACTCCTAAAACTATATAGCACTCCATGATTTTAAATGATTTTCTCTCTGCTGTTAAAACTCAACACACCTTGTATGTATTTTTTTTTGTGTGTTACTGTTCTTTAAGTTTCCGGTTGTCCTGTGTTAATTGTCATTTTAATTTGTATATTTAATTTTCTCTCTTTTTTTTTTTCCCTTTGTTTTAGAATACAGAATGTTTTGTCACACAGGTACTTTAATTGGGACCAGAATTATTATTAAGATAACTGTGCGAATCTTTGCTCTGGGACTGTGTCTGTGAGAGAGTGTATATTGCGTTACAATTAGGGCAAGTGGATCTTCACAGCTCTGACTTTAAAAGGGCTATAAAACATATTGATCCCTGAAAGCAATAAAGTCATCCAGATGTTTCGATGTGCCCTTAGCTTCCCCCATCGAATGGATTTGCTGCTATACGCTTTGAAAAAGAAATTCCATTATAATTCCTGGGGGGTTAGATTGCAATTTTTAAATTGGTGGCTCATCTGAAAACATTCCTTTTTAAATTGTGAAATTTGTTTCATATTTTAAGTCTTCACAATGTTTACATATGCTGTAAAATTGCATGACTTGAGATCGAGATGAATAAATATCAGCTTTATTTACTTACCTTTTAATCTGGAGTACTTTCAACTTTTATTGTAAATTGACTTATGTTTTATGTATTTGTGCTTTCTTTTAATACATTTATATACCCAAAATTGAACCCTCCTGCTACCTGTTGTTTGTATTAGTCGTTTAGCTTTTTTTCTGATCTGAAAGCTATCTACCAGCTAATGTGTGTGAGTATGTATTGGCTCAAATTCTGAAAGTCCCCATAATCCAGTCTGGTTTTCACACATCCAGTGGTCCAGTTTACCTGTTCTGTGAGTGGAGGGTCTCTTTTGGATTAAAAAGAACATGCACCATGCAAGTTGAATTTTTTGAGGCAATTCTGCAGAATCAGAATCAATCATTGGAATCAATGATATGGCAGGATATGCATTTTCATATTTTAAAGTTAATGGGAACAGGAGAAACGGCTGTGCTTTTGGAATGCTTTTCTTGTTGCAGATTCGATATACACACTTTAAAGGGGGTGTGAACTAAAGTGTGGTTATTGGTAAAACGATGTCTCTTTAAGATCCTCTCAAGCATATCTGACAGATTCGATCTGGGACCACCACTACAGGCACATTGGCAACCGGAGATTAAAGACCAACACTTTTACATTCAGAAACCACGGCAACCTCAATTATTTCAAGCTACCAATAAAAATGGAAATTCCCGATTAATAAAATAAAATAACGACAAGGAAAGCGCAGTCTGCAGTGACACTGATCAACAGTGAAGGCGGGTAGTGAATTGCTTCAGGACAATTTGTAAGGAAAAATGGCTTTGTTGGAATTGTCGAAGAACTGCAAGTGTATCTAGTACTGAGCACTCATCTGCTCTGACCAATAATATTGAGAACCATGTGATGTTTGGTTCCTGCCTTTATGCCTTTTCAAAGAGTCAATTTGTCTGTTCTCTTAACTTTGGGCCGTAAATCCTGCGTTACTCTTTGAGCCCGGTGCATAGCCACGAGAGAAATTGTATAGGATGTTTCTCCTATGAAGTATGACTGTAGTTTGTTGTGTAATGTTATTTTTTGACAATGAAGGCTGGCTGGATCAAAACTGATTCCAAGAGCTGTCGATACAAAAGGTCACCTACTAACTCTTTCCCAAGCAGTACAGAGGATCTAGGCCTTAAAGTGGGTTTTAGCCCAGGTTCAGTGTGTGGAGTTTCTCCCTCATGTGTGGGTTTCTTTGGAACTCACTGAACCTGCAGAAAGGTGAAAACAAGATCCCTGATTTGACCAATATGAAAATTTAAGTCCATATGATGAGTTGACTGATGTGACAGAAAAAAATGTTTGCATAAAACCTCCGTTCTCAAAAGGATGGCTTTCAACTTACTAATCACCAATGTCATGCCACCCCGGCCCCAGCTTTGAGGCCTAAAGAAGCTACAACAGTCAGCCGACTGGTTTCAATAACCCTTTTTTGAATGACTAGATGGATAAAAGAATTTTATTTCACTTATTTAGACTGTGGTACAGAATAAATGATGCCCGTTGGGTGCAAACCTCCATGGTTTCTAATTTCAATCCACACCACCTATTGTTTCTGTTGTTTACTCTAGTTTGTGCCTGGGGGGGGGGTGTTTAAAGGCTTATAAGAGCTTCTGTTTGTTGCCTGTGTGTAACAGACACCACTGGTTATTTTTCAGGTTCTTATTTAACATGGTCTGTCTCAAAAGCCAGAGGTAGTTTTGAAATAAAATCTAAAAACTAAAGACATTAAAGACCTGATAATGCAAGTTTTATTAATTCTGCTTTCGGTCCAAAATTCTTGAGTGTGGTTTTACCAATGGAATGTCATGACTTTGTAGATTATTCTTCAAAATGTAAGAAGTCATCATTGCCAGTCGTTGGCAGAATGTCAGCGAACTCGCCAATCGATCTTTAAATATCAGGTCTTCCATCAGCATCTCTATAGGTGTGAGTCTGTTAATGTAACGTTATGGTTAGAAGCTACCATGCGTACCAGACAGCTAAAAGAAAAAAAACAGCAGCTAGAAGAGACCTCGTGACTTTGCAACTCCTGTTATCTCTGGCAGGATTTCTTTTAACTATTCACCTGTACCCTGTGATCATGTGAATATGATGTTATTCTGGTGGCTGGTTAGATGTTTTCTACAGAAGCTTGCATGCAAATGTAATTTCTTCCTAAGATTCTGGACCCAGACTTAGATCTAGGTACACTTTAGTTTTCAGTGTCTTGATCACTATAAGATATATTCCTTTCTTCGACACTTGTTTAGAGGTAATTATGTGTAGACGTATAATTCAGTGGGGAAAAGTTATCTTCTGTAGTACTCAGTATGATTACAAATGCTGTCCGAAACCCTGTTTTTGTATTTTTATTTTAGAACCGTTAATGGCTCATTAAAGGCTTCTAAGTGTCTGAGTATTTTGGAAAGTAATCAGAGGTATGAAAATATTGTCTACTTTTAAAGCGTCAAGTTTAAAATATACAATATGGGCATCTGAAATCATGCAGTATTTTGAAGGGCTCCATTGTAACTTTGAATTGAAATGTTCTGAGTGTACTGGTAATTTAAGTTGTTTGCAGAGGTATGACTACTGAACTAATTTGGAAGAATTCCAAAATGGTGAAAAATGATTAGTCATTGATTGGTTTCTCATTGGATGTTAAAATGATTTGACTGCAATAACATAAAATAAGAATGCCTTATTAGAATCTCTTAATATAGATAGATGTTCAAAAACAATTGGAACCCAAGAAAGAATATAAAAGTATAACCTTAAAACAGTGTTTTCCAACCCAGTTCTCGGGAACCCCCCAGAAAGTCCATGGTTTTGCTTCCTCTCACCTACTAGGAGTTAGGGGGGAGCAAAAACGTGAACTGCATTGGGGAGCCTGAGGACCGGGTCGGGAACACTTCCATCTGTCTGTGTGAGATGGGATTGTGCTCAGTTAGCTTGCTCTCAGTTGGCCTGGATGTTAAGTAGACATTGCTCTCTGGGAGGTGAAAAATGGCAGGTGAATTGTTTGGAGAGTGACAATGAGGTAAAACCAAAGAGGCATTTATTTACTGTATGCTAATTTCCTAACTTTCTAGCACATTTGTGTAATGTTAGCATCAAACAGTTGCACAATTAGCATTTGCTTGCCTATATTTGCCTTATGAATCCTTTCCATTCAGCTCTTCTACAGTACTTTTTTAAGTATGGAGAATGCAGCAGTGTTCCACAATGTGTGATACTACTAATAATGAATAATATATAGAATGTGCTCTTTTCACCACTTTAACTCTTCTGCTGTTATGCTTACAGGTTATTTACTCACACATTCATTATTCATTTTTCTTCGCTTTAATTAAAATATCCTGTGTATCATGTATTGTGCACTTAGCTTGTCCTTATTTGCAATATGTGTGGTTCTTATAGTATTTGTGGTCTTATATTCACCCCTTGTTGTCCACTGTCCACTCCCTTGTGATTTGCACATATAAACCCTTTTCTTTATGTTGCGAAGTGGACCTGGGGAAATGTCATCTCTTACCTCTGTATGGATTGTACAGAGCCCCACTAAGTTTGACTTGACTAAGTCCAATCTTGCTGTGGGCATATGACCAACATATAGAGTAATTACACTTAACAACAAAGTCTTTGCTTCTTGAACAGTGTTGGATGTTCCTTTTAGATTTTTGGCTGCTGATCTCGAAAATCACATCCACATTTGCCCATCACGTACTGTTTCGTCGAAATCTTCAGTTTTGTCATGTTTTGTTTGTTATATTTCTGTCCAGAAATTTTTGTTTCTGCAAGAGACCTATCAACAATGTTTTGTACAGTCTGGGAATGTCCAGGGATGGAATCAGGCCAGGTTGGAAGCTCTTCTGTGGAAGTTTGCAGCCTGGACATGCCTGGGCAGGCCAGAGCCAGCTTGACACTGCCTCAGCAGGCTATAAAAGCGGCTTGCACACACAGATGCTGCCCATTGGCTTAATATAGACCTGATAGTGTGTGTGCATTGTTTCAGAATATAGCATTGCTTTAGTAGCAATGTAACGAGTAAACTAGATACTATAGACATTTCCAGGACAATTGGTGTCGGTCGATGTCTCGTCAATGTCGTAACAGCCGTGATACATTTTGCTATATTTCTAGCGAATATACATTTGCGCCTCAGAGATGCTCAATGACTGCTCTTGTGAAGAAAGCATATCATCTGTACTTCAGCTGTAAAATCGTGATCAAGATAAGGCACAGGTGCCTCACTTTTGTCATGCGACATGTGCTGTCTGTCAGAGAGCCTGACTCAGAGGCCCTCGAAAGACAATGTCGTTTGCTGTCCCTATTATATGGCGAGAACGGGAAGACCATGTGACGGACTGTTACTTCCGTTTGACTAATGTCTGGTTTCTCTGCCAAAAACAAAGTCAATTGAATACCCTAATCTGCCTTCAGCAATGAGACCTGTGCCACATGATGACAGTCTTCCTATTCCGAAACCACCAGAGGAATGGACCTTAGACGAACCAGACGAAGAACGTGCAATGCATGGAACTGGCAGTGACAATGATCGGGATTTTGAACCGTGCTTATCAGCATAGTGATGGAGTGGTGACTCTGAGGCTAGGGATCTGTGCCAGTAATCAGAAGGTTGCTGGTTCAAATCCTGTGAATGGCCAGAGTGATTCTGCTCCGTTGGGCCCTTGAGTAAAGCCCTTAACCTGCAATTGTTTCACCCTGGTTGTGATGTTAATCTACATCCAGCCCTTCAAGGAGGTCCTCCAACTTACAGGGAATAACTTGGGGGTTGGTGGCAGGATTTGCACTCCAGTCACTGGAAAAAAAACTCACCTTGGTCCATTCGGACTTGTGTGGTGTTGAGGTATCACCTGCCACATGACTGCACTTAGGTTCTCACTCCCTGAGGTGGTTTGTCGTGTGGTGGCTGTGACAACGCACTGTAATCAGTGCATGCTCCTTACCTCCTCCTTGTCATCAGGTGATCTACGTCTCATAACGCAGTCAGAATTAAATGATCTGGTCAGAGATTTGGGTCTGTCAAGAACAAAAGCTGAATTGCTAGGTTTGAGACTGCAGGAATAGTGTTTGCTGTCACCAGGTATGAATATTTCTGCTGACTGCTGATGGACACTGCAATGTGATGCACCTGACATTGAATACAAATGAAAATCAAGAACAAAACACGTTTAATTGTTGAATATAATAGCGTATGAGAAACATAAACGTGATTAAATACGTTATTGCCGGTAAACAGTTAACAGTTTCTCAGACTTCCTATGTGATGCAGCAAAACTATATTTGTGCATACGCACAGGTATCTGTCAGAAAGCAAAAACTTTTCAGAAAGCAAAATCTTTCAAAACAAAATGTTGTGCAGTGTTATCTGTCGCTTGTAATATGAAACCAAACGTCGATCTTGTTTATTGTCACGCTCTCTGATGTAAGAGGCACAGGATATACCTCAGGTGAACTGTATTTTATACCAAAGGGCTTGGCAGCCAATCAAAACTGATTGATTGTTATGGAGTTAGAAACAGTCGAATTGGTAGCTTGGGGAGAGACACCGCCCACCCACTACTTGGGCAAGAAAACGACGGAATCCGTGGGGTCCTTTAAACCCGCTTGGAGGCTTTGTCTGCTGGGGAAATTCACAAGCAAAGGAGCAGCTCCACTAAACTCCGGACTAATAGGTGAGCATTCTTCTCTCTTGTCCATGTAAATGGTTCATCACGAGTAATCTACTGCCATCGCATACAAGAAGCTAATGCATTTTTAAAATTAAATGCGTTTCTGGTCATTTCCACTGACAGCTGTTGCTTGCTGCTTTTCATACATGATGACGATTTTATATCACCGTTGACCGTTACTCCTATTTATAGGCACAAAAAAGAACATTCCCAGAACAGATAAATCTTTATAAACATGAAAAACAGAAAAAGCACCTTTACTTTGGAAGATTTCTAAAAGATTTTTTTAAATTGAGATCAGTTTTTATACATCGATTTAATTATTGCAGCATGTCGTAGCAAACATATTTCACCAAAATTAACGGATATTATACATCAAAACGGCGTGTTCAACACGGAATGTTGCAGCCCATATGAGTAATTAAAAGCCATATGCCAATTTTAAGAAGTATAAATTAATTTAAGTAGGTCATATTGCCCCATAGTAGGCTGCTATTTGTTTTTTGTTTTAACGTGCGGTCAGACATTGTGATTTGCACTACGAAACTACGGCAGCTTCGCAGTTTCAGTTTATAATTGCTTGTCCACTAGAAATGCTCTCTTTGGTGTTTAAAACCTGCCTGTGGCATAATGAAGTGCTTGACTTTTCTAGCACAACTTACCCAGAGATTACCATTGAGCTGTCTTGATTGGTTAATTAGTTCATTAGAAGCAAAATGAAGGGTAGCCAAGAATTTTAAATATAAAAAGAATTAGTTTGTTAATAAGTGGTGATGTTAGGTTCGAAACGAGGCTTGGAAGGGTGTATGGATCACAAAGGGGCGGGTCCGCCTAAGGCCCTAAGCGGTCTCAGAAAATCACCTGATCGATAAGAAACGAGCCTCGCTTTCCGGAGCACGTCCTGTGGTAATACTTATCTTAACGGGGTACAAATACTTAGTGATAACTCAGTTACTGCTGAAGTACAAATCGTGAACGAATATAGCCACTACATGAGATAAAAGATGCGCCACGATTCATTAATGATGAACAAACATGAGGTCAGATTTTAACTTGTTCCATTACTTGTTCCTTCTGTAGTTCACAAAGGTTTACTGACTTAATAGATATAATAACAAATAGACTAACTGCTTTGGATGAAAGATGCATTCTGATTCATTAATGATGAACAAATTTGAGACCAGTATTAAACCTGTTATTCATGACTTGCTTCTTCAGTAGTTCCATCTGTAGTTTAGAAAGGTTTACAGAACAGATATATACAGATATATACTCCTTAGAATAAACCATATGTCACGATTCATTAATGAATTAACATGAGAATTAGTTTGTAGTTTATTAAAGATATCATAATTAATAGTACAGTCAAATCTTTAATGGAGAAATGCTGTACTTAAAGCAGTAGCTTTACCAGCCAGAGTGGATGCGATAATCGGAAGCAAATAGACCAATTAGGAGTCACTCCGTTTCATACAGAATACCATTTCACTATGTAGGACATGCACACGTATAGCCACAAGACCAGCTCTTTGCCACTGGGGACGCTGCCTCTTGCAGTGCTCTGTCCAAATGAGAGCTGTTTGTCACTGGCTGTGAGTAAGGAAATAGTCAAGCCAAGGGTCGCTAGGTCCTTCAGTCTCTGACCATCTAACTTAATGAAAGGTCGATGAAGTAGACTTTATTATAGATTAAGACTTATGGAGACTATTATGGGTTGGCTCCCTGTCTGGGGTGACTCCCTGCCTTGCGGCCACAGTTTCCAGGATAGGCTCCAGACCGCCATGACCCTGCACAGGACAAGCAGTTATGGAAACTGAATGGATGGATGAATGGACATATGGTGAACAAATGCAGGTTTAAAGCTTAAGGTAACTCTGTGTTAGCTTTGACATGTAGAGGATATTCAAGGTTTTAAAAGTAATTTAAAAGGATTATTAGTTAATTCCTCTCATCATTGATACAGCTTCAGTGCTTGTATGGTTTGAATTTATTTTCCAACTGTGAGGAGTTTTACTTGTGTATAAATGTACCGAGAATGTTCAAAGGACATGACTTTGTGAGCTAAATCATTCCTCCAAGCTATAGTATGGGAATACGCCATTTGTGAAAAAGATTACTGGAGATCTGTCAGAATTACCTTGCTGTTAAAATGGATTGCAGATATACTTACAACTGACAGGTTTTGTGTGGAAATCTCAGTAATGCAGCTAGATTCATTATTTTAGGCTTTAAGCCTGAATTGCTTTAGTAAATACAACATTTCTTTATATCCATCAAGAACTTTCCAACCGCTTCTCCTTGCCACCGTCCAAGGGGGTGCATCCTGGACTGTCTGCCCCCCTGGACTGACTGCTTGTCCATTTTTTTCACGCACCACAGACCCTTAAAAAAAGCCCACAGGTATCAAAAGGGAATTTCTCCTTTTTACTAATTGTTACTGAGCGGCTTTGACAATAATAATAATAATAATAATAACAATAATAATAATAATAACAGATAATAATAATAAAGTTTAAAAACTATTAATTTTAATTAAAAAGTTAATTGTATTTTCTTGAAGTCCTATGAATCTTGTTAGGAATTGTTATGCAATAATAATTTATTATTATTATTATTATTATTATTATTATTATTATTATTATTATTTTAATTCCATAGGAATCCATTTAAACCCCATAATGGCCCTGACCAGGAACGAAACGGCTCTGCACTCTGACTACCTTCTGGCTGCTCACTACCTTCTCGAGGGAGACCCCTTTGCCTCAAAGTTATCGAAGGAAGCCGACATGGTTACTGCTTTCTACGCCTGCATTGTTGGTAAGGGCCTGTGTGTGTGTGTGTGTGTGTGTGTGTGTAATATGTGTGTGTTTCTCTTCTGTTAGAATATGTCAAGTTTAAGAGGTGTTATTGTATTTAATTTTTACCCCTTTAGCCAATAAAAGCTGTAGAAGTTTAGGACAGCTTTATATTTCTCTTAATGAAGCCCTATTCTGAGGCTGACAAGGTCCTGGAGAACCTTCATGAGGACATGGCAGGGACAAAAGCTAAGTTAGGCATGGCCGTGTGTCAGGAGAAAACAATGCTCAGCCGTCGACAGTCTGGCCGTGGGTATTAAAGCATATATTAGTATGCCACAGTTCTGCCGCAATACAAGTTCTTCTTTTCCAAAAGTACAGCAATACTGTAAATGTTTACCTATTGTCTGGGACTCAGCCTTTCTAGCTGATTGCCTTAAACTGCCATTAAAACTTCAATGGCAGTTCTGTTAAGTTAACCATTCTGTGTGGCAAGTTCATACCTTTAAGACACCTGATTTATTTTTAATTTTTTTTCCCTGATTTTTTTTTTTTTCCGTTTTGTTTCCTCACCATGGGCATTTCATGAAAATATGGGTTCAATTTTACATTTACTTACTTATCACTTTGGACAAAAGCATTTGCTGTGCAAGTGTTATGATTAGTGCATTTGAAGTAATTTTAAAAATTAGTTCTGATTGTCTCCCTTGCTGCATGCAATGTTTTGTTTGTATTCTGTCTGACTTCCGCTGCCCACGTCAGACCAGGAATTTATGTCCCCCGTAATATGCATATGCAAAGTTGAACCTTTGACATTTGGAGCATTTGAACGTTTAACATTGGGAAAGGAACAAATATTCCGTTCATATTTAGGGATGATTGTGCAGAATAAAAGCTATATTAAACTAAATTTCCAAGAATGTAACAGCCAACAATTTCTATGCCTATCTTAATACGAGTCATGTGATACCTAGATGAAGGTGACAGTAGCTGAGGGCAGACAAACTTCACTACATGAATTGGGGTTATTCAGTAGATGCAGATTGGTTGTTCAGAAACTGTCCATGTGACTAACTGGAAACAAGCACACAAGCATCTGTCCACATGCTTGTTGTGTAAACATGGTGGCATGGTTACATATATGGTCCACGTCTCTATTTTTGTTTAGTTATTTTGATGATCATCGGATATACCAAAATCACTGATTAATTTCGTTGCTACACAGACAATTATTATTGTAAACAAACTCCATAGCTTACCACACATCTTCGCCTGGATCATTAAAACAGCAAGCAAAAATTCTTCACAAACGGAAGTTGACTGGGGATAAAGAGGATCCAGAATATGCAGTTTCATCATTTTGGGCTGTAGTTTTCTTGTGAGCTCATCCATGTTGACGTTTTTAAGGGAAATTCTAATGTGAGCCCTTTTTAAAGAGCCATGAAATATCTCTGATGCCATTTATTGAGTTCTAGGGCCCCATATCCAGAGACGTCATAACTGAACTGGGTCTGATAGTATTTTTCATACTTTCCAAGGGCTTGCTGTGTAATCCTAAGTCTCAACATTAGGGTTAGCCAACAAAAGTTGGATTTTTTTACAGACATTCAACAGTGTTTTTATGATAATTGCTTTCCAAGGACCTGTTCCCAAATTTAGGGTTAGCCAACAAAAGGTAGGGTGAGCCACCAATCTGAATTATTAATGCTGAAGTCCCTAAAACCTAACGATTTTCTTTAGGAGCCATTAAGAATTATGGTTGCATTTTGTGTTTATGGCTTTGCAAAAAAAAATCTGGAAGCTAACATTGAAAATCCAATTGACTTCCATTAGGATTTACTTAATAAAATAATAAAAAATCCCAGTTGTCCACCAGATGGTGACACTGGGGGGTATACTCCCTGGGGCAAGAGGCTCTCAACCTGGGCACCGATTCACCCAAGACCCAGTGCTATCACATGGGCCCAGGTACCCGGACCTCCTTGACCACTTGCTTGGGATAAAAGGCTCCAAACACGGGGAGACGTTCACCCAAGCCCTGGGGCCCCATAGATCTCCATAGTTCCCAGAATTTCTTGACCGCTTTCCCGGGGAAAGTGACTCCCAGCTGGTGAGATGTTGACCGAAGCCCCAGTACATTATAGTCACCCTAGTGCCTGGGTGCAAGGCCTGTGTCCCAGGCCGCCAAGAAGGGTAGTCGCCCTAGGGGTAGGGTTAGGGTTAGAAAGGTTATGGCTTTTGTGGACGTCCAATGGTAAATTTAAACTTCTCTTAAGAGAGGGAGAGTTTTGACCAGTACAGGAAAGCATTGATTTCAATATCACTGCTTTCTATTCTTTTGTTTTTTTTTTAGTTTCCTGATTACAGTAATTTCAGGATATTTGTAGAATCCTTTCAGGTCATTATTTTGTATATATCACTTTATTTTCATTAACCGCATTGTTTTCTTAGGTTGGCACCATCTCTCTCTTACACATTTGTGCTGTGAGCAGTGGAGGTTTTTGGGTCAGCCTGGGTTTGGCAGTACCTGCTTCCTGCATAACAAAGGTGCAGTTTGAGCTACATAGCTGATGGCACCTCATAGTAACATTCTGTTATGGGAAGATACTGAAGGAAGTCCAGCTGTGTGATGAAGCTGGGAACACTGGGGTTAACAACTATTACGCACATAAGCTAGCAGGAGAAACATCCATTCATCCATTTTCCAAACCATTTCAGTGTAATTGATTAATCGACCACAGGCAGCAAGAGGTTTTCATCACTCATGGTGAACTGGAGTGAAAAACTCAGTTACAGGAGACAATGTGTTGGTCAAAATACTGACTAGATATTTTTAGAATTCATAAAATCCCAGGGAAGCAAAATTACAATAGAAATGTTTAGAATTTAGGGTAGCAAACTATAAACATCAGATTAAGTAACAAATCATCACGTCGACTCATTCCAGTGAATTTTTAATTACGTTAAAATATTTAACGAATTTTAATGGTCGCTTATATAACAAATGTGAATGGAAATAAAGATCTCATTCCACAATTGAGGTTCAGAAATACATGTACCTGTACATCAGAAATAGATATGCAACATTATTACTAGCCCACAAAAGAGCCACTGCCGCGTGACCATTCACAATACGAATTCCCTCTAAACTTGAATTGTCCTTGGCTTATTTTAAGAACTATATGAACTATTTCCATATAAAGAAATGTGTGAAAGGGGTTGGTGTTTGATTTACTTCAAAGGCTCTTCCCTGGCAGTGCTGTCTCATTTTTAAGCATCACTGGGAGATGGTACTTTCAATAAACCAGCTCATAGTCGTCATACTTCCACATGAAATCGCAGAGCTCATCTTTCAGAATGACGTTTCTTTTGCCTCAGCTACTCATCTATTCTTCATCTGCCGTTGCTCAGCACATGTAGCTAAAGCTTTGGTAGCCATTCTGTTAAACAGGACAACTTGTGACTTTTCACTGTTAGGCGCTGATGCTCATTTTTTACGTGAGCTGGGTATGTAGTTAATTATCTCTATATTGACACATTTCCGCCAAGGTGTTTTTTTCTTATGGTTGTGTAGAAATTCCCGACTGGGTTTGGCATAATGAAGACGAGAACCGATGCTTTTGAGTTCCCATTGTCTTTTTTTCTCTCTCTATCATCAATGGAAGTCCCCCCCCCCCCCCAGGTATTCTGTCCGTCATTGGCAATGGCTACGTCTTGTACGTGGCCCTCAAGCGGAAGGCAAAGCTGAGGCCTCCTGAACTCATGACCATGAACCTCGCCATCTTCGATTTCGGCATCTCAGGTTAAAATATCCTTTTTTTTTTATGCTTTTCTCAAACACATTCGTATGAGTCATCAAAGACGAAATCCCTTCATTAAGTGGAGAAATATTTTGCATTATTTTAAATGACAAGGGGCGCTGCAGAAATACAGACAAATCTTCACTTGTTCTGTTTCACTGGACAAATATCCCATGTAGCAGAGTCCACATGGCTGAGCTGCATCCCGGACAGAACGGCCCAAACAATATCAGCATGACCAGGGGTCCCCAATATGGGCGTCACGACCCACGAGGGGGTCGCCAACGACGATTTCCACAATATGTTCATTAAAATTTTAAAATGTGAGAAAACATTTCGTCTTAACAGTAACCGTAACCGGTCATAAGCTACGCCTATTATGCTCCTTTATACTGAGACTGAAAAGGTGGGATTGCACTCTGTCGCCATCCTGTGGAAGACTTTAGTTTCGCAGCATAAAACTCCTACTTCTGACATTATGCACCTTCTCCTTGCCTGGGCCACTTTTGTTTTTGAAAATGGTTGGAATAAAAGCCTGTTATCTATAGATGGCTCATTAAAACAAAAGGTTTGTGTGCTCCGCCATTTGTGTGCCAAGCAAAAGTAAGCTCCAGTCACATATCACTTTCCATCTTTGGTAAGATTTGAGTGAACTACAGTGAAATGGAAAGCTTGTCTGTGGTTTCTGTATAGCGTTTTCAGGGATTTCTTTTTTTTAGCGCGTAATCATGTTGCTGGCCACTGCTGTGACTACTGAACGACGCAGTGGAATCGTTCAGTACTGCTGTCAGTATATTTTCACTTTTTGTGTAATAGTATTAGAGGTGGAGATTCCAGGTCCAGAGAGTACAAATCCAGACCGAGATTTTGTTTCAACCAACCAGTTGAGTATAAAGAGTCACAGTCACAGTACTCAACTGGTTGGTTGAAACAAAATCTCGGTCTGGATTTGTACTCTCTGGACCTGGAATCTCCACCTCTGATTATTATACTTTATAATATGTTTGTTTTGTAAAGTCTGTGTGTGCATGGTGTTCCTCAGTGGCCGGCAAGCCGTTCTTCATGGCTTCCAGCTTGTCCCATCGGTGGCTCTTCGGCTGGCAGGGTTGCCGCTATTATGGTTGGGCTAGCTTCTTTTTTGGGTGTGGTAGCCTCATCACCATGACGACCATCAGCCTGGACCGCTACCTGAAGATCTGTCACCTGAGTCTCTGCCTGTTCTGTTTTTAGCACGACTCATGGCCAAGCCAGTAGGGTCGCTCTTCAGTTCTGTTGCACAGACCATGGTTGAAGTCCTATGGTACCTCTTCTTCTGTAGGAGGAGATAATTGGGATTATCTCATAGTGTACAGCAGAGTTTCATTCAGCCAGGGTATCAAAGCTGCATTCAAGGGCCTCCTACAGACTTTTTAGATGCCTGCAGGTTGCCTGTTTCGAGCTAAGAGTGCAGTACCAGTTATTCCAGATGCACAGCACCCTGCGTCCTGTGAAAAGACGCTTCTGTAGGTTCTATAATGTGTGTCCTCTGGCCCTGAGGCATCCATGTGGGCTTGGGGACATAACAGAATCATGTAGGAAGAAAATCTCCCAATCTCTGTTGATGATGGTTGATGATGTCGATGGTATTGATAACACATTGATTTAATTGCACAGGAACCTGGCTGCAGCGGCAACATGCCTTCCTGGCACTGATATTCATCTGGGTATATGCCACCTTCTGGGCCACCATGCCACTGCTGGGCTGGGGGCGCCACGCCCCAGAGCCGTTTGGCACCTCCTGCACCCTGGACTGGTGGCTGGCCCAAGTTTCGTCATGAGCATCCTCTTCTTTTGCCTCATCCTCCCCATCAGCATTATCGTCTTTTCCTATGTCAAGGTCATCCGCAAAGTCAAATCGTCGGCCCAGGAGGTGTCCCGATTTGACGGCAGGAACAAAAACAGGCACACCATGGAGATGAAACTCACTAAAGTAAGTCTATCGATCCCCTTTATTAGTTTGGTTTTTTCAGTAGGCTTCTTCTGAAGAGCCACACTTTGCTGCTTTATAATGGATAAAGGACTGATTATGGATAAATGACTGATTATGATTCACTGCCAGCTTCCTGATTTACCTTCTCCTGAAGCTACTGCTGACCTGAATGTAAAACCTTTGCCTCAGATGTCAGACTGTGAACAGTCTTAAATTCCTCTTTTGTGACTGCCTTTCCTAGAACCAGCCTTGATTTTGAGGAACAATGGCTTGTGTTGTCCCAGATATCACATATATGGCCCTTTTCCCCTCCCCCAAACATGAAGTTTTGTTCTATTAAAGTCTCTTTTTCATGATTCATGATAGCACAGTAGAAACTTACCAAGGCCTGACAACATTTCATTTCTCATAGTCCTTTGATTATAATGGTATATTTTTCTTTTAATTAATTTTTAAAGTGAAATAATTTTATGTATTGAAATAACATCCTCACTCACATGAAAAAGCATTTTTTAATTCAGTTTTTTGATGCTTGCCATTTAACTTCTCATCTGTGAAATAAAGTTGTCTTTTGTGTGTGGGGAATTTTAAATTATGAAAGCAGTTAAAATACTTTTTATTGTATTCTGCCTAGGATACATCCATAGTTTTCACTCGATTAATTGACTAAATTTTTTAACACTACGCTACCTGACAAAGAAATGCCACAACAAAACTTGACTTAAATAGGACTGCAAGTATATGTTGTGATTCTGCTTTCTTCCCTTAGGTGGCAGTGTTGATTTGCTCAGGATTCTTAATAGCATGGATTCCCTACGCCGTGGTGTCTGTGTGGTCTGCATTTGGGGAGCCCAACTCTGTTCCCATCACAGTCTCTGTGGTGCCAACCCTACTGGCCAAGTCATCCGCTATGTACAACCCCATCATGTACCAGGTCATCAACTGCAAGAAGCCCTCCTGCTTCAAAGGAATAAGGAGAAGGACACACTACAGCACATCAAGGTACTAGGCTTTAGCACAGGCTGTATGCAGCACCTCTCAGATGTGCTTCAGGATGCACATCTGATTGAACAGGCGAGAGACTGCCCCTCTATTCTGATACTTACTGTAAAAACATGATCATCCCTGCATTTGCTATTGGTCCCACCAGCGGGTAAAAATGTATCCATATCTTGTTTATTTCACCTATAAATTACATTTCAGTTTTTTTTTTCCTCTAAATCAGATTAAAAAATACGTTGTCTTACAGTTTCACAAGAAAATTCAATTTATATAAAGGGCTCAATTGCTTGGTTCGGCCATACCAAAAATTGTGCTTCCGTCACGCAATTCAAAAGTGTTTGACATCAAGATAATTAAAAATATCACTTTTTTGTTTCTGAATGCTCAATTAAATCTACAATAAGTACATAAATAATTAATACGACTTTCGATTACACGCATTAGAAAAATGAGCTTGATGGCATATGGAAGCTCCTTAATGTGGTTATGTTTATTTTGACATCCACCACCATCTCAGTTGGGGTAAAAGACTCTCCAGCTATTGAAGTCTCTGCTGAAATGTGAGGAGAAGATGGGATCAGAGATGGCTGACATTGCCGCGTTTGGTTTGGGTCCAATCTGAGGATCCCTCTACATGCAGATTTCAGCCCAGACTGGAAGGCCTGGCCCTCCCTCCATCACCGTTCCTGTAAGATTCCGCGCCAGCTGGACTCTGTACTGTTCTTCACACTTATTCAGTATCATTCTAGTTCCATGCATGTAAAATTCACACTTTTTTTTTTTTTTTGGTAAGTTGTTTGGTAATTCCTCTTGGGGAGAATCATTACTCACTGGTGCCAGCATTGAAGATGTTTCTCAAAGCAGGTTTAGGTTGTAGAGCAGTGTTTCCCATCCTGGTCTCTGGGGACCCACAGACAGACCACGTTGTTGGTTCCGCCTCCTCTAGTTGCTTGGACCCACCTCCTCTACAGTTTGATTGGTTCAGAGAGACAACCAAGCATGTTTCGTTCTGCATTCAGAACATTTTTGTATGAGTAAAACTCCCATGAGCGATCAATCCCACCATTAACCCAATAACTAACAAACTACTTATTCGTCCTCCATTGTTTTGCCGTGATGGTGTAGTTTCATATGAAATTATGTGTGAGGATTAATCTACAAACATTTCGTAGAAGTCGAGCCAACCATTCTGCAGTGGAAAACCAAAATGAGCTGGAACCGTGCTCTAACTAGTATCTCTTCACAGTTCAACTCGGGTACAGCCTGGTTCCTATATGCCAGTGGAAAAGCACCATAGACTTGTCTGAAGCTTCTTTCATCAGTGCCATTGAGTCAAGTTCAACCCAACAATCCTTGTGCTCTGACTTTATATGTGCTCTTCAGGAGAGACATGCATTTGAAAAGCTGTGATGACGATTTATAACAGATTTCAGATTCATGATTTCAAATCACGTGTTTGACTATTCATCCCATTGGGTATTTCTGTTAAATTAAATGGTCAACATTAAATCAGGATAATAAAGTGATTTTCGACCATACCGACTTTTCTCGTTGAATTCTGTGCCAGACCACGAAACTGATCGAATCAGAGACAGATTTGGATGTTAGCTCTATTTAGCAGCTGGCATGATAAACAGCTACAATCGCACAGCTTCGCATTTACATTTACTGAGAAGTGACACCTTACCATGTCATCCCTTTAGCTTCCCCTGGTACAGTAAAATTGCCATCTTACAGTTTCAGATCCCTACAATTTATTCAGTATAAATGCTTTCTTGCATATTCAGTTTCAAGTGTTCATAATTTCACACCGAATAATGGACATTGCATATTGCTACATGTTAAGGGTTTAAAATGAATTTACATTTACTGTCAGACAAGAATACTAACAAATATTAGTAGCAGTAGGATTTCTATTCGCATATCTTTAGTCCATGTTAAATTCTGACTGAATTAAGCAATGCAGAATAAAACAATCTCTCGATGCCCAGAATTGCACACTTCTTGCGTGTCATACCATAGTTGTTTCATCATGTAAGCACAGACTTCACAGTGCATATATGTTACCCTGATTCCCCTGCATTTGTCATTTTAAAAGGGTGACCTGAAATCCTAAACCTTTCACAGAACATCAAAGACACCAGCTGTCACATCAGTGAAGAATGCCATCTAGAATTTTTAATTTATGGTAAGATGATGGCTAAAATTACTGCATATATGCAGAGACCATCAACTCTGTCCATCAAAGAACCCCTTGGAATGACTTTAGGTCTCCATCCTTCACCAGGAAAACACTGAAAATAATTTAGATGGCCTCTTTAAGAAGTTAATGCATTAACTTTTTGATACATAATGTAAAGAATAAGACATATAAAACAAACTCAAATACAGGGTGCGGTA